AATAATTAAAAGATCAAACTGATATATCATCAAATCAAAACTGATGTATCTTTGAGCCTGTGGTCTCTCGCAAGTTTATGGTATAAGAACGTTATCGTTTGATCATTCAATTTATTAGAACAACTTTTATTATATTATTTTATCAGGAAGAAGATCTTTACATAGTTCGGAGATTCTGACATCTTTAAATACCTTACTATTCGGAATTTCATCATCTTATTAACATTATACTAAGTTTATGATTGCTATGAATATAATTATATGTACTTATTTTTTATATTTATTTGTTAATGTTGATCTTGTTAATTGTCATGTGAGAAGTCTTGTTTGTCGACTTCAGATGACATTTTATAATCACATATTCAATATATTCGAACTAAACTTCAAGCAGTGTAAAACAAATTCATATGAATTGCAACAGTCGAGTCGTGAGGTTTTTCTAAGAAACCTCAACCTGTACAGAGAGTGAAGCTCCCATCGTAACGCTATCACTTTAGCCAAATAGCAAGAGGCTGCTTCCAGGGGGCTGTAAATCATCCTAATCCACAGGAAGTAAACAAAGCAATAAGCAATATCAAAATGTCAAAAAGAATATAAGTAAATCTGTGTTTGAGGGTGGGTTTCACCACCGTTAGCCAACAATGAACGCAGAGAACGGCCATTAGGGCCAGGATAGCGCCGAAGCTCGATGGTCTGTAGATCCTCCCTCAATAGATGAGGTACACTTAAGCAAATGCGTGATCCCACTCCACGTGAAGGGTCAAATGCAGCTGGTAAAATCTAGCTGTTCCAAGAACTTTGCTTTCAGAACAGAACCATTTCGCCTCGCAAAAAACAAACACACCCAGAGCTGCGTGCCAATTATCTTTTCCACGGGAGGACAATACTGTTTAGTCGTTTCAAACTCCGTACGGAATTCTCTAAGTTTTTAATTTTTTTATGTGAGAAGGTGGCAAACGAGCTGTCGGTTCACCAGATGTGAAGTGGTAGCCGCCGCCCATTGACATTTGCAACACGCGTTTAATTGCAGATGCGTTGCCACCTTTTAATAAAGTGGGCCCCAGCTACCTCATTAACCAGACGAAACGCAGAAGTGTAAATACTTCTACTTGACACCGGTCTTTTCTGAGGAATGTTGCCGTGCAGCAGCGAAGACTGTTGCGTGGCCCTACCATAGTTTGTGTTACTCAAGGTGTCTCTTCCTTGCTATTTTAGCTCTACACGAGCGAACCCAAAGATCCACAAGTCGAACTAGCAATTTCAACCGTCTTCTATTAGGACACTCATCTTGACAGAATAACTATTCGCCTTGTAAGCATCGCCAATCGCTTCGATTACTAGTTTCGCAAATAGAGAATAGACATTAACTCCTGAAACAACCTAGCGATATATTGCACTTTGGCTTAGTTTCTCCAACCTCCCACTGTTCTGAAATTAGGAAACTAAGATTAGAATAACTATCTACGGCCAATCCCTTGCGAAAAGAATGTAATAGAAATTGGGGCCACTTTCAACTCCAGAATGTCATTTATTATTATGGATAAAACTCCTTGACTCAACCTTTACTGAATCAATGTAAGTAGAATTTTGTCACGTCTCTTCAACCATCATGCAGTGAGTCAGCAATGCCATTGCGCCTTATCCCTATTCTGGACGGAATACAAATTTATTATGACTAATGGGGAATCAATGGGAAGTAGAAGCTGTTTGTTTTCAATTTGGGTCCTTCTTTACTCTCTTTAATTGTATGTTACTCAAACGACATATTTCGCTCTACACCTTTCTCCGAATCTATGTAGTTACGTTAGTCTAATATTCTTTTGGAACGCCTTCAAAGCAGCTGGAAAGCAATTCTAAATCTTCCTAACTCCATCATTTTTTTTTCAATTGGATCACTGTTGGCCCTTAGGAGGCCTTTACATAACCACCGGGCTTGAGGTGATCGGGCGCTTTGCCTCAACCTCGATTATGAGTGGGCTCTATCAATATTATCATTAGAATTTTAATGTTTGGCAAGAAATCGGCGTTGCAGATATCTATTAGTTACGGTAATCACTTAATCTAAATATAGGTGAACCACCTGCTCGCTTGCCAACTTATTACATTAAAAAAAACACCAAAATGATCCCATGTACTTACAATTTCTTTTCATTATGAAATAAGAACGAATGATTGTTTTAAATGTTTGATATTATAAAACTAACATCATACTTAATCATTGAATAATATAAATATTCGACATAATTCATAGGCAATATTAATTTTAACCGTTCGGTTTTAAACAATAATTTAAATTTAAAAAAAAGAAGATTTTTAAAATGTCATAGCAAGCCCTCTTTGTGAAACACTCTACACTAAATCGCACTGTAGAGTCGTGGACATTATCGTCCCACTTAAAGATGTATTAACTTCCGCTATTGCAACATAGATGGCAGCGTTAAGGTTTAGAATCGGAACAGAAGATGGCGTTAGCGTCAACATGAGCTTAAAAATCTTTGGAGCTTTTATCTCGGTCACCTGAGATCAAGTGCGTTATGATTATATTTTAATGTAATTGTGTAATATTCGTGTATAAAATATCATATTTTATAAGTTAATAGCTTTGTTAAGTGGTTTGGTTTGCCCGGGCCGATGGAAAAGGACGCTGGACCGGCGGCGAGGAGCGAGGCGACACGGCAGCCGCCGGCCGGCACCGGCAGTTCAAACTTGTTCGCCGCGGTGACAGGTGCCACGCTGCCGCCAGATAAGTTGCACACGTTCGCGGACCCACTCTTTGTTTATAACACTTGTTGTACTTCCCGTTGGGTGTTGGTAAAATTTTGTAAAATAGCTCCAATTAGTTTCTTTTGGTAGAAATAAAATGTGATCATAATATAATAAGTGTCGTGAAAGTGTTCGGAGAAAAGACCGGCTCCGCGGCAAGTCTACAAGTACGATTTGAATGCAAAATTTGCCTGTAAAATACGTTTGCCCTCGGTCCCGTATGGATTTCTGTGGTGTGATAACGAGCTAAGCAAGTATTCGTGTTGAGGTAAGTTACGGGAATTTGTGACTGACTAGATGTTATTTGTTATTGGATGCTGTACGCTGCTGGAGGTAACTGGATGGTTTTAGCGTGCGAATCAGAGCGCAGTGCTTGACGAGAGCAGAAGAGTAGGTGTTTAGTGAGCAATGCTAAAGCGGAGTTCTGTGGGGCATTGAGCACGGGTGGCGCGAGTCCGCCAGAGTTGAACGCCCGCTACTGGGTCCGTCGCCGTTCTTCCGATAGCACACAATTACCTTGGCAATAATCTCATTCTATTCGGTTACTCATTATTACATAGGTAACCAAACCATCAAGTCGAGATGGGTAAGATAATTTTATGTCTTCACTATTTCTCTTGACTTAGTTAAAAGCTAAGGCTAAGTTAAAAGTTCAAAAAGTATACACTTTGATATTGAGTTATGAAACTTGCTCGTTCACATTTGTTTATCGTAACTGTAAAACCACTACAAAATTCAAGAGATAGCTTTGACCACTTTTCTGTTGTCAGAACTCAGAAATAGCTTCATAACTATATGAGTACATCAAATATAACGTTGTAACATTAGGTTTGAACGAAATACTAGAAAAAATTATGTTTTTTTTTATTTAATCGGACTCTAGAATAGAAATAAACTTTCTTGATGTTCAAAAAGCTCTGCGAGGAGTTGGAATTCTGAGTTTTGATTGAAACTTCTTTAGAAAGACTACATCTTCTACGGAAGTAAGTCATAGTTTGATTAATTTGATTAGATAATTGAGCATACCCTAGTTTATGCCATTTAAGGTTTTTATACTTGTGTCTTGTGCAGTTCATTAAAACCTTTTTTCATTTATGTATGTAAATAATTCACAGGCCGCGTAATGGACCATGGTCAAATACCTTAGAGCTACCGTAAACATGTTGTATTTTATGAACTTATTAATAAGAAATTTATATTCAAATATAACTACTCTTCATATCAAATATAACTCCTTTTTCAAGTAGTATATTCCGCAACTTTGACACAAATATTATTTTTCAAGTGTCTATTAAAATTAGCTGAAAAGTTTCTGATAAAATATATTATAATAATTAAATGAACTTTATAATTTGTAAAATAAATTCTCATTCTCTTTTGTTTTATTTTTCTATATGCTTGAATAGATACAGTTAACGATTCGGAATAATATTATATATGTATACTCATTAGATAGAATTGAAGTACGTATTTGCATTTCAAATTTACTATTTTCTTACTAAAAGCTTTAAAGCTTTCATGCTATTTTGTACAAGATGAAAATAAAAAAAAAATCTGTTTTACAAATTTTTTCCGTACATTTATGAGAATTATTTGTACTTGTACGTGTACTCATCTGTATTAAAGTTGCACACAAAAGAAAATGTAGACAGACATAACCTTTTTGCTGTCACAACGAATGGTGTTTTTTTATTGTAAAACCACACCATTGCCGTGGCTAGTTAATAAGTTTAACAAAGATTATGGATCGTGTATAAAATTAATTTATGCTTTTTATTTATTCCTTTTTAAATTATTCTTTTCGATTACCTTAAGTTTAACTTGAAATGAAAAAAAAAAAACATTAAATTGTTACTTTTATTAACGAAAGTTACACTACTACATAGTTCTCGGCGTGGATCAATACGTTGTTGTATATGACTATTCGACTTAGATGTAATATTTCTTTATGCGAGCAGCGTTTCATATGTTCAGCCCACATGTCTCCAGGGAGACTGCCATCTTTCTTCCATTCGATCTGGTTCTGTCAGTGATAACGGCGCTCGTCCCATTTCTTACATTTATTTGATAAAAATGTCCGTATTCTATTTTGAAATCCACACTTTCGGTTTAGGCGACTAGTAAAAACTTTGTTGACTTTTTTAACCGTACTTTAAAAGTTATAATGAACTCTTTTTCTTGAGAGTAACAAAAGCGGTTACTCATGGATCAAATCACAATCTTGATTAGATGAGTCAGGGGTGATGCTGGCATAGGGTTGAGAGCCCTCTCGCACTTGAGATTTGTAAATTGCGGTCCACTTTCGCAAGGGACTCGTCCTCCTTCCAAAGCTCTTCGCTTCTTTTGTCCTCGATCCGAGAAAATATTTCCTGATCCATTATGGCTGTGTGCAATAGTGCTGAATTAACAATGTGATTTAATTTTATTGACATAGTCTGAAATAAAGAAGGAGGAAAACTTACATCAAAAATGAGAGACGAAGGTTGATATTACGTACCAGCAACGTAATTTCGTATTCAAAATAAATCACTCATATTTTTCTTGGCTGTATATCTCGAGATCATTCTCGTGAGAAGAAAATTAACTTTTTAGGAGTGATGAATTGAACTTGTCTGAACGCTTTCGTCAGATCTTATTTGCTTTAACCTGTCTGCGTGCCTGAATAATTCTTTTGAGTAGTCATAATCCACACATTTCTTTCGAATGCCTCTTTTTTACCAGGAAAGTAAACCATACATATATTCAAAGAGAGAAAGCGATACATACTTACAATCGAAATAAATATCACAAGTCGATGCGCAATGTTCGTCTTTCGGTCGGTGTCCAATTTTGCGGATTCACGTAGATCGTAATGTAAATAGTCTACGAACGGACGTTTCGTCTGTGTCGCACACGTACGTGTATCTGTTAGGACCGTGGCCTTTAAGGCTTGATTGGTGCAGTGCACGGGGCCTGCGGGTGAAACGTACGAGCCGGCGGGTATCGTTGTGTGCAGTGTATTGCCGGCATGAATATTCGCGGACGTGCGGCGAGTAGCGCGGGAGCGGGCGGCACAATGGGGCCTTTGTAGCACAATGCCCATTTCCGATTACCAGATTGAATCGGTCCGCCAAAGCGCTCCCGTTTCAATGATCGTCGACGCAGAATAGGACATTTTTGCGGTGACGCTCTTTGTCCTGATGCGGGGTCTCGGACAAATACGACGCTCGAGATACTCTGAATTATTTTTATAGAAGATATTGACTTTTAAAAATGTTAGTTGTCAGCGTTATCGCGATAATACAAAAACTCTAAAGCCTTGTTTTTAATTGCTATCCCAATATCAACATGAAAAAAAATTAATGAAAATCAACATGAAAAAAAAAATAAGCATGAAGTGAATTTTGACAAACGCCAAGTTTACGATGGATTTTACAGAATAAGACCCTAATTATTTTCTTGACAAACTGGCACGCAACTGTAAGTCGCCGGCGTGAGTTCGTGAGCCCGTCACGAACAGTTTGCGGTCAGAAAGTTCCAATAGGAATCGAACTAATATAGCTCCATTCGCTCTACTCCACCGCACTCCAGACTCGGGGATTCTCGAAGTTTCGTTGTTATTTAATTTAACCCCTCGTTATGCGGGCGGGTGAGTACCTATTGCGTAGCCGAGACGTCTGTTGTTCGGTTCATTGTTGCGAAAATTTGGACGAATTTGCGACGATCTCGTTTCATTAAAAGGCGTTTTGGTAGAAGGGGAACAGCGTTCGTACTTCGCAACGGCAGCGAGCGCGCAGCAAAGTTTTGGAGGGTTCTTCGTTAGCTGTTCACTCGCAGGTGGAGGAACAAGGAGAATATGTTAATCAACGTTATTACGGCTCTCTTCTTCAGCATAAATATACAGGCGTAGCTATTTCGTTTGTCTTCAATTAATGCTGTCAAGAAGTAGAAAGGTGTATAGTTGAGAACTTACGTCGTTATGCTCCCTAGAACCTTTTCATCTATTTACGGACTAAATCATACACTACCAAGAAAGAAACTTATGTATTTTTTTCTAAGTAATTAATTTCATATAAATTTGAGTACATGCTTATTAAATATCTTTTGGTAAAGATCAAGTTACTATAAATAGTTCCAAATAAACGAAGCAAGGTTTAAAAGAGAATATCTCTAAGAGGATAATATATTCAATAGACAAAACACTGCCCACGATGCTCAAAGATTATCTATGGGCCCAGTAAAAAGATATAAATTATGAAAGATCTTATGATCATACGGTTCACACAAGTATGAACACTAAAAGCAATAAGAAGATTTTACTTAACCAAGGTGAAGGGTGGGGTCGGACCACAGCAGACTGCGTTCATATCTTAATGCGCTCTCGGTGAGACGTGCATCATTAATATCGTTTCTATCTCTAAGGGATAACTGCAACTTTTTAATTGAAGCTATTTAGTGTGCGTCCCGAGGCGAAATACTATTCTTATTCTGAACAGTTTCTTTGCACTTAAGAACAAGATTTATGCCGTGAAGAAAGCCACACATAATGAGCAAGACTGGTAATATAAAACTAAACAGTATCGCGATACAGCAACGCGTGTCTAACGAAAACGTAACTAACTAAATGTCGTAATTGCTTCGGCGTCAGTTAAATGCTTGAGCAATTATTGTTGCTTGTAAAAAACAAAGCGAGCTAGTTAATCCCCGGGCGAGTCGGAAAAAATGTTAAACTGTGGGCGTTTCCGAAGGTTGAGCCTTCACTCGGCTGTGAGACCCGCTCTGATTGTGGGTGCTCCGAAAGCCCGCCGCAGGCTACCTGCTATAATTTCTGATCCCAGAAATTACTCATAATAAGTAACGTAACCAGTTATTTCGTAGACGAAAACAACTCCCCCGGAGCCGTCCAGACCGAGCGACCGGAAAGATTATTCGTGAATCATACGATTTTTAAGTAAGTTAAAGTACACACGCACACTAGAATAAGCTTGTGTCGTTGCGCCGTCTAGAGTCGTTTACGAAATTTCTCAACTATGAAGAAAGCAACCTTCGTGCCATTATCAAGTTTCTAGACATTTCGAGTCAAGAATGCCGTGATAAATGAGCTTTCGTACGTAACTTTGTTACTACGAGAGCATTACCTTGACTTAATAAAATAAGGTAAGTGCTTCACTCTCTTTTTGTCTACGTTTTAACAATTCAACGCCACTTCACAGTTTATTGTACACGTATGTCGCCAACATTATGTCTTTCGTAAGCAATTCATTTGGCTTGCTGTTGGCATCGCTCCAAACAACCACTTGAGCTCAAGTAATTTTTTAACTTATTTAACATATGATATGTACACCGTAGGTAAATAAGTTTAGAAATATATTAAAATCATATAAATACGAACAGAATCCTCGATTGAAATAAAAATTAAATTTGTCGAATTTATTCAAATTTAGAAAACATATATTTCTATATATTTTAATGTGTAATTATAAAAGTTGTATTATCTTTTCTGAATGAGTCTCAATCATGAGGCTTATTTACAATAGGCTTGCGAAGTGCTTTTTCTATTTAGATTTCACCAAGTCTTAAAACGAATTGTGAAGTGAGAAGGATATTCTTAGTATTATAAGGATATAAAACATTACCATGGTACGTGCATCTTAAAGATAGTATGTTTTTTTAACAAAACCCTTCGCACTCTGTACATTTAAGATATTTGCGATATAAGTGTTATCCTGCACGTGCGAAAAGGACCTAGCCTTTTAGACTGGAAGTGCGGAAAGTGCGGAAGCATCGCTACACTTTATGGCGTCCATCCGTGACGTGTATGGCCTCTGATCAGTTTGCTTTTTAGCGTTTTACGTCGCACATAAGATTGAACATACACATGCGGCTCACGGGGCTGCGTGCGAGTTATGGCCGCATAAAATTCGAGCTGGGTCATTTGACTTAATAGGAAAACGTATTGACCGGCCATTACGATTCCGTAATCCGAGATACTAATGGCCCCTTAAATTCGTTTGTTCTGTCTCCTTTAGGTACATTAATTAATTAATTTACTTATTTATCAATTCTTTTAATGGTTCCGAAATATAATGTGTCTTTGTTGACTTCCGCCTGTGCCAAACCATTCGGTATTGGTATTAATGTGATCGAATAAAATATTGAACAATGATTACAGATGTATTTCCTAGTGGTATTTAATTTGGATCCTACAAAGGCGTTAATCGCGTCGGTGAATCAGGTGAAATATTCACGTTCCGTTAGTCAAACGAATAATTTAGCGCATCAGGACTTATACACAGAAAGGTCAGCTACACTTCGCTCTTTTGAATAAATAAATTGGTTCCGGCGTGAAATTCAAAACCAAAACGGTGATGCTCTCAGTGTTATTTATTGTGTTTAGCGGTGTTCGAAAGCTTGTGATTACGGTGGTTTATTAACGTAGTGACATCACTTATTTATTCAATGTGTCGATTGCTATTATTTGTCTTTGTTTATTTTTTGCTAGTCTTTGCATCTTCATTAATTTTGTGATCGTTTAGTGTTTACCATTGTCTTCAGTGATTTCTGTCGGATAAGTCGTTAACAGTTGTTTAAATTATATTTGGTATTTTTGATTTTTCTGCAAATGTTATTTATACAAGTACACATGTCTATTGTCACCATAGTTACCATATTCCCTACATTATCAGGAGAATATACAAAAATAATCCAATTTCATATTTCCTACTGTTGTAGGACGAAGTTGTATTTCGGTATCTTACGTACCAGTGATTTTTTTGGCACCTTTATTCGACCAATGGTGGCATTTTTTTCCTATTTATTGCAATAATTGTATTATCTGTTTACTAGATTTTGATGACTACTTGTAGACCTGAAAAGTAATCTTAGTCATAATGAACACTAATAATGATATAATTAGAATTATAATTGAAGTAAACAAATACAATTGATAAATTGATCGTTATCTCTACATCTGGAACTAATAAAACACAGTACGGTAGAACTAATAAAATATACATGATATTACTACAAGAAACTTTATTAATTAAGCGTCTATACGACTACAGGGGCCTTCAAGCGAAACGTTACGGCTTTCTCAGATACAATTATGCTAATAGGGCCCTTCATTGAAGAACTAATGAACAGTTCTGCAAATTAAATGCATACGCTCTGAGGTTAGGTATGTCTCGCGGAGGCAAAACGCGTATATGGCATTAACATACAACCATTGAACTATCGTTTGTCCTCTCGCCCGGTGGTTTACTATGAATAAAGCCGAGTTTGTGTTCAAAGCGCGACCCAACATCAGTATGCGCGAGGTGGGCACGTGACGGCATCCATGGGCGTCCGCTCGCTTCTATACCTGCGTGTCACTTGCCACTGACAAATAAATGCCATGTAAAAGCGAACAGTCTCGGGAAGTTTCTACCTATGCTGTTTGTGTATTGTTTTTTTTTTTATACGTTTTTAATGTGCCGATTAGGGAGCTGCTTTCGATATCTTTATTAATATTTTGTTATGAACAGAGTTTCCGTTATTTTAAGCCAATTTTAATATTGAAGGTGAGTTGAATTTTTCGCGTCAGCATTTGGGATTAAGCGTATTTTGTATTTTATGTGGAAAAGGTTAGTTAGTAAATCCCAGCGTCCACTGAAACGTAGAATGATCTCGGTAGTCTTCCCTTCGAAAACAGGGCCTCCTAACTGTCCGATAACATTGTAGTACGTTGTAAGGCCGTTTTACTTACATACCAGCCATACCAGCTCCAAAACAATTATCTGAGGGTAATAAATACAATAGTTGTCTCGTGTGGGAGTCGAACCGAAAATCCCCGGCGCCGAAGCCAATACCTTGGCAATGGCGCTACTGAGACAGCTTTGGAGATAATATAATTATTTAAATAATAATTCAAAAAATAAAAATGTTTAATTTTATTTTTAAATAAATTAGGGTGTATGCAGTAATCAAATGTTGTTTGGATCGGTTCAGGGATAATTCATCCATATAAATGAAAATATATTTTTATGTTGTATCTATCGTTATACATAAATACTAATATTTATTAGAGAATTGAAGTATTTCTTACCTATTACTCTTTATCGATACAAAAACAATTATATGCAGAAATATGTGAAGATATGATTAAGCTGAAAATATTATCTATGTTATAATGACCTTAATTAATATGTTGCGTAATTTTGAACACAGCTATTGCACAATGTCTGACGAAAAGGACACACTTTTTCGCACCATAAAAATAACCCAATCCATTCACAGGAATTTCAACGGTAAACTCCGAGCGGCAAATGTAATTGCACAAAATCGAGTCTTGCGAACATGTGAGGATGCGTGTAATACAGAGCACTGCGGCGAAGGTGGTCCGTCCATAATCTAAACTGTCTCCGTGCGAGGCCGTAAAACTTTATCCCGGGCCAGGATGTGCTGTGTGTTGTTTAACGAGCGTTACAGTTACTTTGCACTTCATTCGGAGTCGGTTGAGCAGTAAAGCAAAACTTTTCACCTTCGATTGTTGTGCTACAATGAAGATTACGAATATATTATACAGCGATTAAAAAAAATTATGTAATTTTGCTGCCTGTACCAATTTAAATATTTTTTTTATTTGATACTGAAACAAAATACACAGCTCGTTGCTATATAGCATATGCACTAAACCAGTCGAGAATGGATTTAAATTTTTCAAATACTACAACAGACAGCAGCGAGTGCATGTCATTAATGAAAAAAACATTAACATGTGAAATTTGTTTATCTGGGTTGATTATTTAGATATTCTATATTTATTACTATTATTAGATTCTGATTTGGCGTTTAAAGTTTCACAGTGTAGTTTTGGGGGATATGAATAATTTTTTATACGAAATTACTGCACAAATATACAAATTACAATGTTGGTAACATTGAAACGCTTCAGTTAAGTATAAAAATCGTTGGAATCAAACAGATCAAAACAGTGAGTTGATGGTTTGTAAATTGAGAAAACAAAATAGAACAAAATTAAAAAAATTTACGATGTTAATCTTCTGAAAACTAGTTAATAACAATTTTAAAGCAAGATATTTCTTAACCAATCAACTCGGTTACTGGTTAGACCTGTATACCATATTTGCTAAGGTTTCCGCTTTATAACACTTCAAAAATTGTTTGATAGAATTTTCGCAAAGTTTTTATAACATTTTGCAGTCACGAACACATTCCGCCCGTTTTCAATTTTTCGGGACCTCTTTTGAAATTTTATTTTTGTCAATAAGAAAACCATGCGTGCTATATTTCGATTACCAGTTTAAGTCGGTAAAAATATTTTTATAACATATATGTATATATTATTGAAAAGATTTTTAACCAAATAATTAGGTAATTGATAATATTATTTGAAATTTAAAAATAATATTGAAAAGGATTAGCCATACGTTTACTTTTTTGTTAAGTTGTACGTTGTGTGTCTTAGGAGCGCCAGATCTATAACTTTTTTAATTATGGTCGTATTTTGCCTTCAAATTTGATAAAGGGTGCAATAATGTACTGTTTAAATTAAGCGTATAGAGACACTTGTATATACATTAATTATGCTACAAATTATAAATAATAATTAAAAGTACCTACGACGTAAAATTCAACGCTTGAGCTATTCGTTTAAATGATGTCATAAGTACATTTAGTTCACAACTAATGATTTATGTGTAAAAGAAAAAATCTCATCTTCATATTTACATTATTACCTACGTTGTTCATACACGAGAAAAGTGTAAAAGGCCCAAATTGATATAAGGGAAATAATTTATTTTTCATTATCCTTTTGATATCACAACGTCACAACGTTAAGTTACGTTACGTTATGTAATCAAAACACGAGTCGGTGGTTCTCATAACTTCCTTCACGCAGACTAGGAAGTCACTGTATGAGACTATCACACAATTAGCGAACAACACCGCTTGTACTCCGCAAATACGGCGATTATCGTACAAAGATCGTGTTTTCTGAATGTATGGGCGAACAAAGGGAGGGAAATCAAAGCGGGCGCGAACGCTGCGCGATCACGTCCCAGAGCCGCAATGTCAATCGCGTTTCTTTTTTTTGTTTTCCGCTCAGACAATAGCGGGGAAATGTTTTCCACGGGCTGAGGGCGGGGGCGCGGGGTCAATAGGAGCACTAATCTCTGTCGGGATCGCTCGGATTAATGGCTCGTATTGCCGTCTTTGTTGTTTGTTCCAAAGTTGTCGGCTTGTACGGCCGTTAAGAGTGCCGCGGTGCAGTTTTCAGGGCGCTTTAGTGTTGCCTTTTCCTTTCACGGTTTCTTTAGTTTGTTGGGTTCGCGTCACTACCGTTTCTAGCTTTGGTTCACAGCTTTTATACAGATAATATTTTATTATTCTTGCCATTTATAACGAACGTATATGATAAATAAAAAATGTATGAAACGAAGAAAGAAAGAGCTGTTACAATTCGCGTTCATATATACCTCTAGCAAAAAGTTCTATCTTATATTTAATGGAAATATGATATCCCTTAATGTAATTTTAACTCGCGACTCCAAATCCGGTCATTAAGAAGGGCGCAGTTACTAATTAAAATAAAATTGTTAAAACAGACACTGGTACCAGTCCGCATACCCCGGACTAACTTTTAACGAGGATATATTTGGTTTCGAACAACCCTTTGGTGATTTCACTATTGAGTCCGGCTGCAAATAACTCGGTAATTGCCCTCAAACAACTTCTGGCTTTGTGGATAGAACTCCGATGTTACCATGTTTTGAAATACCTGAATAGCAAACGAGTGATAGGTAAAAGGTACGTAAATACGGTGTGATTTATTTTAACATATGATTGTAAAGTGTTTTGATGAATTTATGTTTAGGCACGGTCGTTGTACTATATTTTTATAGGGTGTACACAACACACTAAGTTTATTCGTTTTATAAGCAAAAACTAATCTATAAACAGTTTTGCGATTTTTTTTTTACCTAAATTTCACATATTGTTAAATAATAGTTTTACCTTGTAAGACATAAAGGTAAGGTCTTTTTACAGTCTTTTTTAAACTGTTTACAATTTGTTTCAGGCCTAAGTGAAGCTGGCTGGTGGTGGCAGGATGATGGAATGCCTTTGCCCCGCGCCGCGCACGCTGGCCTGTCGCGTAGTTTTGTTAGACGAAAGGGAGCTATTCCACGAAATACAGGTAATCGAGTTTATCTTTCACTAAGCTTTGAGATATTGAAAAATTCGAATGTGATTACAGTTTAAAACTTCTATTTGAAAACTATTTTAGAAACAACAACAATCAGATATTCAATAAACCAATAGTTTTTATAGAAAATGACTCCGTAATAGTTTAAGTTTATAGTTTGTGATTGATATCTTAAACAAAGTTTTCTTCTTTGAAAGCGGCCGAGATAACTTCAGAAACACGCCGCGGACGTCCCCGCGGGTTTTGTCGTGGTTATTTTTCAATTTTGCCCTATGGTACAGCGCTCGGATTTTTTCCGAGTTTCCACTCCCCCCCCCCCCCCCCCCACATTTGGAGAGCAGCCATTCCGAGACGAATTATTTGAAGTACACCCGGGGGCCTGTGGAAGGTCTTTTATATGCGGGGCCCAGGTCCAAGGTGCGGGCGATGAATTCACTGAATCGTACGTCGACTCTATGAATATTAAATTCTATTTGGCCGGCATTGTCGCTGCGCGGTGAATGTGGGAGAGGCGCGCGGCCGCCGCGACGCACGTGTTGCCAGCACAATTATCTTCGTCACAATTATAATCTTTTCGATTGAGTACAGCGAGTACAGTTTAAAAACAAATACCCGTTAATGAATTCGGAAACAGAAACAAGGCAGAAACCTGTGGCCTATCATTGGTTATAAATCAAATGTTAATGCCTTATCTTTATAAAGAAAGTCTTGCTAGTAATATATGATCGATGAATGTTATAGATTACACATGTTGTTGGCTTTCATGACTGAGAGGTTGTTCTAGCCCTCTCTAAAGGTGGAGATGTATGCTAGTAATAAATATCTACAACAAATGCCTTTGCAGCATTCTAGCAGAATCAATGTACCAAGAGAGGTTTAATCAACTACGAAAGATTAAATCTTTCTAATCTCAAAACAAAAGTAAATACATAAAAATTATTTACTCATAGTAATTAATATAATGAGGGTCTTACTATTACAGATGAGACTACGTTGATACCCTCAATAACCATGAAAGCGCTTTCAAATGTGTAGTGGATATGGACATTCTTAAAAACATTTGGAAAATTTGAAGAAAGAAAGAAACACGTTTATTCACGGTCTAACCACAATAGATACGTAACAAACTTGAAACATAATGGTATTATTTGTTACTATGTTGATTACGGTAAACGCCCAAGTACATATTTTAATTAAATAAAGGCTAGATTACGAAGAGAACCTGTATTATATTATATTAGATCTCTGAACCTGGTTTATTGTTATGAATTAGGGAGTACAGTTTGAAAACTTCGGAACCCACGTCTCTATCCAACGATGTGTCACAACGATTAGCCGTTGTTAATAAACAATAAATACATTTTACATCAGCTTGCCAGAAAAACCTCACAGTTTCTGCAAACAATATTTTATGTCTTTGTAGAAAAGAGATTTCCATTCCATAAAAAGTATGAGGAATAGGTAACTTATCAATGATTTTGTAGTAAACTCTCCGAAGATCTTAATTTAAATGCTAATTTAATAAAAAGTAGTCGCTAGTGCGTTAAAAAAAACGGTATGTAGTGTAGGTTTTCAATATAACTTAGTGACGATCATTTTGATTTAATTTAACACTTAAGTCATAATAGTGCAAAACGTTACGGAATAAAATGTTGAAAAGAATATGAATATGGTTAGAATCAAAACGCAAAATACGTATAATATTTTTAAGTCCGCAAAACTGATATTGCCATAATTTATGAATTTAGCCTACTAACACGTCTCGCAACGTAGTCGACTCGCTTGCCACACTATCTCGGTAATATCGCGAGGACTCCCTCCAACATAAAGGCATATAAAATTACTGCCATTCAACTGATTCGACACTTATCCGGACACACTTACTATAATTCTCTCACATAACCGTAAACAACGGTCCAATTGTTATAGAAATTCTTTTCTCTGCCCTACAATCGCACGCGTAACTTCTTCGTCAAACAAATTCCAAAGATATATTGGGCTGGAATCGCCCAATTTGGGTAAAGTGGAAGCGACGAGAGTTCGACATTTCCCGCTAAATTGTATGGTTATTTCAGATAAATCGGCGCCCTTTCCAGAATTTTCCTATCTACAAGGGGTCATTTGTCTCAAGCGGATCCAGTGAAACTTTCTCTCGAATTGGATTGTTTGCTAAAGATTTATGTATTTCATGAAACATGTATTATTTTCGTGTAAAACTCGTTATTGTCGTTAGTTATACCTGCAATCAAATGCTTGGGAACGGTGTTTAGGACCGTGTATATAAATTGAAATTAATTGATATCTCTTGGCTTTGAGCATTGAATGTTAATTGAATATTGAATGTAAGCGAATTTGATGTTATTTGTAAATATTATCATACATCATGTGTAAGTAATAAAAGTACATTTAAATTGTACACAAGGAGATGAAGTTTCAATATCCATGTCCACAAAACTGAAGTATTTAACAGTTCATTTTAGCTTTAGACAATACTGTACACAGCATGGCACGCTATTTATTTTATGTTATGATGCTTCACTTAATAAAGATACGGCGTACTAAAAAGGAATAATACGTTGACCTACTTCCATTAATTCACTGCGATATCCCTTGATGGATATTATACAGTTAAGATTTACACCAAGGTAATATTGGAGTTCGTAAATATTGTGAATTATTCGAACTGAAATGTTAAGAAGAATAAAACAGTATAATGATAAATATCGTCCTCGTTTTATTGTAAAATCGGAATTGCAGAGAATGTTCTCTCTGCAACAATTTCGCTTCGGAAGTATTGTCTTATTTATTTCAACTGTTGGAACGAGTGCCGAAGAAATTGCTCGGTAATTTGGAGGACGTAGCGAAGTGTTTGGCGCGGGTGGGCATCGCCGGGTGGTGTCGCGGCGGCAAATTGAGTCGACGGCATTTCACGGTTCACTGCGTAAATGCACCTCGCGCCCGGCTCTGCTTTATCGGTGTCGTCTTTATTGTCTGACAGTCTTTTTCTTGCTTCTTTATCAAACAACAGGGGGCGTCCGCGTTGCTTTATTTGTTTGCCGGAGAAATAATGAGCGGACTTTAACGAGCTGAACTTGAGACGAAGTTACGTGAAAAATTCACATTTAATTTTACGATGTCCTTGATGAAATTTGTTTAATTTCACACACAGAAACAAGCTTTCCCCCCGCACTTATCTTGCACTAGGTGGGATCGGCACAACATTCCATATATTCCTCTCTCAGCCGTCATCTCAATACTGACCCGTTTCACAGACAAATCTTTCTCAGTCTTTCTCTAGCTTTACACCCACCAACCACATTCATACTCATCACTTTTCTAGCCGCATAACTTTTATTCCTTCTCATTACGTGCCCATACAATGACAACCTACAACTCATTATTTTCTCAGTCACTGGTGCCACTTTCAAGCTTATCCTTATATACTCCTGATTCCGGATCTTATTCAGGGAAAAGATCCGTATATTTGCCATCCATCTCAATATTCGCATCTCTGCCACATGCCCTTTTCTTTCATTCATCTCTTTTGCTGCCCAACACTTAGATCCATACATCTTGACAGGTCTCACTACCGTCTCATACAGAAACAAGCAAATATGATTAATGTCTTATTAATATCATAAAAGCTATGTGTAATTTAATTTTAGCTAGCTTCTTAAGTCTATCGCAAATACAGTGACAGTGTTGTGTGAGGATTTGTCATGACGTGACCTTGAAATTAATCTCGCGCGCACATAAAAGTTTCATTTATATAATAATGTAATAAAAAAAATTGCAGAATAGAACCTCAACTACAAAGGGGAAGAAACCTGATATGAATGAAGTAAGTCTCAAAAGAAAGCGGTACCATTACGGAATTTTCCCTCCAATATGAGCGTAATTATTTTCTCTTCAAGTTGCCTTGAGGGCTGCTTGTCAGTTCATTCCTAGAAAGTAGACCAAGTGCTATAGTGCCGGAAGGGAAGCTTAATACATGCCGATGTTTCTTTACGCCCATATTAGTTCCCATAACCCGTATACAACACGTCTAATTGCAACTATCATCGGCGTTTACACGCAGCGCACATTCTAATTGGAATAATTAGTCATCGCTCTCAGGTCTAAAAAGGAACACTGCAAATTCCCTTCGTTGCTGCGATCCGATATCAACGCACGAAAATGAATAACAACGTACCTCGGATGAGACTTGAAAACTTCAAGGTTAAAACTTTTTATGGTCATTAGTGGTCTATTCAATTTCCTTAATTTCAAACAAATCTTATATTATAGTTCTCTTCGAACCGCGGTAGGTGTACAAATCACCACGTCCAAATGTCGACAGCGAGCAACTGATTTGTAAATTGCTCGCCATTTTCTGAGCTCTACATAATTTTCTGGGAAGAAACACGCCCCGTTATTAAATTCATTTATTATCCAGATCAATGAACTGTTTCACTTTTCTCCACATTTGGAAACGTACGTAGTGTAGTATTAAGAACACAGACGTATTATATTCAGGTGGAGAGATTTTTGCGTTTGGAATCAGATTGAATTAAATGAATTGTTTATTTCGAAACATAAACTTCTGTCTTTTGTGTTACGTACTAACTGTATAGCTCCAGTGTAATTTATAAGAGCAGATAGACAATTTAATTTTTATTATGCTAATTAGTTTTCTTAAAATTTAATATACTAATATCAATTCATTATTTACTAGATTAGATTAACCTGCACAGTTTTCAAATCTGTTCATGTTTTAAGTAAAAAACTTGACTTCACATAATATTTTAGACTCCAAGTAATTATCGTTAATAATACATTATTTGTAAAATAAAATAAGTGATTTCATAAGAAATAGCTTTATAAAATTATAAAGTTGCCCCATGAATTTTTATACGTCAAATTTCCTCAAGTCGAATCAATATGATTAGTTCTCGCTGCCATGGACATTATCGGTGGGAACTGTATTTAATTGATTGAAAATAAAGGAAAGAAACATTTATTAACATAAACAAAAATGTATTTATTTTGATGACCATGTGAACTAAACACTTATTGGCATTAAAGAGAAACTGTTAAAATCGTATTATATACCTATGAATGTATGAAGCTGGGGGTAGTCACGTACATTACTTTTGTAATAGCTAAACAGCATAATAAACGTATTGTAATGTATATTTTCTACACTCTAACTTCGTTTACTTGCACTTTAAATAATACAGTGTTTATTATTTTGTGATTTTTCTTTTAAGTAAAGTTAGCCCAATGACTTTGACTGAAACTGGACCTTTTAGCTGTAACTCACCGAAAACTAATCTTCGGTTGGACTGGAATAAACTCCAACTCCTTACAAGTCATTGACGTAGATTTGATATTAAGAATACCTACTTCAAAAATTTATTATGCTAAACAGAAAAGAATAGCAACAACATACATAAAATTTTTACAAAACAAATACTACGATTTAAATTGGTTTTGCTAATTCCATATCCGGTGCTAACATAGGTTAACGAAGTAGATTTTAGGTAAATAAACAAGACGTGCCAACATACATTTAAAAAAAATTATGTAAAGTAAGAGCCCATACATATCCCCCTGGGATTGCGAATTGGTGGATTACACGCCGGTTACCTCATAATGTTTTCCTTCACCGCGCTGAGCATGTGATTTAAAATTAACAACTTCATTGGTGCCGGCCCCGGGATTTGAACGTAGGTTGCTCGAGTATTTTGAATTAAAAGCGAGCGCCGGTAACAGAACTAATCACAGAAACGTTTAAATTTTTTCAATTGGTTGTTGAATTATTTTAAAAAGGTAATGAAAGGCGTAAACTAGTTTTAACGTTAATAAAATCGATTGTTGTTTTTAGGGTTCCGTACCCAAAGGATAAAACGGGACCCTATTACTAAGACTTCGCTGTCTGTCTGTCTGTGTTGTAGCTGTCAGCTGTATCTCATGCACAGCGATAGTTAGACAGTTGAAATTTTCACAGATGATGTATTTCTGTTGCTACTGTAACAAGAAATACTAAAAAACAGAATAAAAAATATTTAAGTGTGGCTCCCATACAAAAAATATGATTTTTTTTTGCCGATTTTATAGATAATGGTACGGAACCCTACGTTCGCATCCGACTCGCACTTGGCCGGTTTTTGAAATTCCTACGGTAATCTACATAAATTTAGCAAGCCGTGGCATTCCCAGCCGACCAGTAAAACGCACGCAAGTAACATGCGGGGTGCGTGAGAGCTCCCAAGATTCCCCCTATTATTAGGCTGCCAATGCCATATCGCCGGCTACTGGTCTTACTGGTCCTGCGCCATTGCGTGTGAATCCGCTTAATTGAGGAAAGTCAAGCCTCGAGAAATTCTAATTTGTAGCTTACGCGCTCCGATCGTGGGAGTATGGAGCAAGCACAATTATTTCCGCTTTCATTGCTTCACATCGATATGGTCGCATATCCGGTTATCAAAGCTAATAACGATTGAGGTCAAAATTAATAAATATTGAATATATAAAAATTAATAGCAAGATTTTGTACTCGAGTACATTAGATTGTATAACATATTGTTGTATTATATTTATTTTCCTATTGAATAGAAACCACCAAGTATGTCACAAAGCTTAAGAGTCCATGATCCGTGAGACGACCTCGGATTATAATCATCGAATCACCGTGTCCATTTTTAAATATATTCAAGAAATATAACATATTAGAACCGACAGTTTCGTTTACATTTACACATATACACATGCACGCACGCGTGTACGAGTATATATAATTGATGGTAGTTGAAGGTAATAATAATGCGGTATTTTAAAAACGTTTCGAGTTATGTCCAGATAACAGAATGTAATCTCGATTCGAGATCTCGAATAGGTTTAAAAAAAATTGTCAAAAAAGATTGACTCTTATCTATCTACCTAACCACCTCTACAAATATACCTAACTCGTAGTTACACGCAAAAAAGAGTTTTAAAATGCTCTCAGAGTCTCTTCTCATCCCACATGAAGAGTCGTATTAGTCTTTGCAGCAGCAGTACGTAAATTCAAATCCTCTGCAATCATTGAAAGGGGCAATACGTCTTTGTTTTATATGTTTGCTATTGTGGCATTGATTTCATTATACTTTTTAATTTATTTCAGTAAGAAATATATCTTAGACAGTTGGAAAGCTTCGTTGCTATTTAATAGCTCCAAGTAATATTGATAATCATAAGGATTTTACAAGTATAACAGCGCTGCGGTTGCATTTATTCGACGCTCGGAGATACGCTTGTTCATTGATATAATAATATACACTTCATTTCTTATCACAAAGAATCTAAAATTATTATTACTTATGACAAGAAATATAAAAATCGTAATTTATATTTCGGATACCTGTACAGTCAAAATAGAATTACATCGCGTAACATTATGCCCCTAAGCATGAATTAAGCCAAAAGAAATTGTATATCTAACGGCTGATTAAGTTGACTCTCACAGATAATTTTACCGTGCCCGAGGCGAAGGCATTTTCAGCTCACAAAATTATAACATGGCATTCATTTCAAAAAACTTAGAAGATAAAAGGTTTTATTCATTCCTTCTGTACAGCGACTAACTGTTCCCCCTGGTTTCACTCATTCGCTTTATTAAAATATAAATAGCAATTTGAATGTTCACAGCGTATCGTGTATTTACTCAACCTATAAATAATATATTTTTAGTTCCGAAATTTACCTCCTTTCTATGGCTTCAATACAGTCTTCCATATAGGTCAGATTGAGAATGAAAAAGAAATACACCAACGACAAATATATAATCAAAGACACCAGCTGCCTCTTATCCGGGCGAACAATAAACATCAATTAACGCACGCAAAGACGTACCTAAACCTGGCACTAACAGCCAGTTTGTTTTAGTTTATCGACTGACCCTTATTATCAACTACTACATATATAAATGTATATATTATGTTTATAATGTTTTTCTAGTCTTCTGTTATGCTCCACCAATTTTTACATAGTTTCACCATGTTTTTAAATATACAATGCATGTAAAAACAAATTTTGCGGAAACAATATTGTGTGTTGTACGTTTCTTGTGGCGTCCCTTAGAATTTTATACTGTCTGTCGCTTTTTATAATATTAAAATCATAGCTAATATTAAAAAATAACAGTGGCAGGTGCCACGTTTAATAATAAACAAAATGGTGCATCATGACTTGAAATAAGGATGGGGTCATTTCCTATCGAACTATAAAGAAATAATTTTGTTCAGGATTTTAAAAGAAAAGCAACCAATAGTTTTAATTTAATTAATATCTTTATAAATTTAATAAATTTTGTTGACGTTAGTTGTATTGGTTTATATGTCTATAATAACTTTAAATAGCTTATTAAAAATATGTTTGCTGCAGGATAATAGCACCGGTCAGGCATTGCTCGACGTGGTTTTCAGGCATCTAGATCTCCTAGAAACGGCTTATTTTGGCCTCCGTTATGTTGATCAGGACAACCAAACGGTAAGTAACTTTTATAAACTTTAAAATTTAAAAAAATTGTGTTCCTATTTGAACTTAAATTTTTTAATTAATAAAACACTATGAAAGGACTGCGTAGTTGTCTAACTGGTATGCAAGTATGATGTTGATATAGGCAGGATAATTTTTTTTTAATTTTATTTTAATTATACAGAAAAATTTCCTGATTTAATGATGAACTACACTAGAATGTGTGTTGTTAAACATTGGGGATTTTAATTAAATTTCGCTTTAAATAGTTTTTTGTTGGCAGCACTGGTTAGATTCGGGAAGAAAGTTGAGGCGACAGCTCCGTGGATCTGATTCCCATACGTTCTACTTCGGTGTGAAGTTCTACGCCGCTGATCCTTGCAAGCTACTTGAAGAAATCACTAGGTAAATACATATTTTAAAAAATAAACTCTACATTTTATGAAAATGTCACATAATCAATAATAAAATAATTATAATAATTTCGCTGCTGCACTTACTACAACACCACGTCGAAGTCATAAATTTACGAGGTATTTAGGAAGTCGCACCATTTCCTTCGGTTTCACTTAAGATGAATTGTCTACGATGACATCTATGAGTTGTCTACTAAAAATGTATTGCTAGGTACGTAAAAAAACCTTACTTGTTTATTAAACAAGTACTGGAGGACCGAGCTTTGCTCGGTTTTTTTTTTGGTAAATTATGTATTTTGGAAATAAATTGAGTTTTTTTGCGGCGAAATTTACTGTCATATTCGAATGATATTTTTCATTCCCTGAAAATAGTGATAAAAGGACGTTTTCTAAAAATGAAACCTAGCTAGATCGATGTTTCGCCCCGAATCTACACACATACTAAATTTCATGAAAATCTTATATATATATATATATAGTTGCTCGTTTAAAGGATAAGATTATTGTAACGTGAGCTGTCAAAATTTTGTAGAATTTAGGAGAGTAAATGGTCATATTAATTAGAATCAATATCGTCACTCCAAATTCGACTATGTATTGCCACTTACGTATAACGATTTTGTTAAACGCTGTTGGAATTTTATAAGGTATTGAATTTCATCAAATTGTTTTAACGAATTTATTAACTTTCAGCATTAAATTATTTACGGAAATTCCATTTTTCACCACTAATTTGATAAGTTCAAAGTTCGTAAGAGGAAAAAGACTTTTTTACATAGCCCGCATCCGGTAGAATGTGTACGTACAGAAATTGTTAATATAATGTGTTCAAACCACTAACTGCACGTGGAAATCAAATTAATTGCTACGCATTTAAAAGCAGCAGCCATGTTTATTTATGCGGTTTCTCATCAAAGCAAATCAAAGCAACGGGAGAGTAATAAAACGCTAGGATCATATGAACTGTTTTGATACTTTTATGAATAGTTTTCGAGGATGGCTGCCTACTTTGCAGTTTTTATTTTACCCTATTATTATTATGCATGGAATTTTGCCTAATTTAATTACGAATAGTCAATAACATACTCTTGATTTTTCAGAGAGTATTTATTTATACATTTTGGGTTCTTGTTAATTCACCAAAATGAACCGCAAAAACAACATTAATAGAATACAAAAGGCTATAACAATAAAATACATCTGTTACATTCGAGTCTTCATACATTATATTGAAAACCGTTCTGAGCAGAAGCAAACTGCCTAAATTGTATAATGTAGGCATATATTAATATTCTAATTGTTTGGCTGGAATTTGTAAAATTAGTTCAATTCTTTGATTTTTATTGTTCGTTCAGAGTACCATCACCAAGAACGTCTTATATTGTCTACCCGTGTTTTTACTATAAATATGTATATATCTTGATACAAATTCATATCACGTAACAATAACATCCATCATATGTATTAGTTTATTTTATTGCCTTATAGCAGTGATATCCAAAGTAGTCTATGACGACCTACAAAGGCCCATGTCAATATCATCTTCATCATCAGCAGCAGAAAGACGTCCACTCTTGAAAAGGCCTCACCCTTAGAGCACCACAATAAACGACACTGCATTTGCTTTCACCTGCTGCCCGCGACTCTTACGATGTCGTCGGTCCACCTAGAGGAAGGCCTTCGAACGCTACGTCCCTTCACCTTCGTTCATCTGTTCTTTGAGCGATGCGGCCTGCCCATTGCCACTAGAAAGTACTAACTATAAAATATTTTTACAAGTATAAATTAGTTCGACAGGGACAGGACGCAGGAGTTAAAATAAACCAATGTCATTTACAATTTCTTTAAAAAGATTTTAATTTTTTCTAGCAGAAACTCTTGATATGGTACTTCACCTCACTACTGTTAGAAATAAGTCAAAATACATTTGAAGTCGATGAATTTTCAAAAATTCAATATTAGTCTACCTAAAACCGTAAAATGTGGTAAGAGAAAACTTAATTACGATAAATTTGTCTTACAGTATAATATAGCACTACTGATAAAATATGTATTTATTACGCAATTTACTAAAATACAAATGAACATTTTGTTTACAAACTTTCAAAATAAACTGAGATAGCCAACGTCTTTTCAAGACAAAAACTTCTTTAGTAAATCTCCTTCGAAACTTGGTACAATCTCATTCCCGTCACAAAGGATTTTGTCCTTTTGTCGGCACCAAGCCAATTTTTGAGATACTGATCCTTAATAAACGCACGGCGCCTAAGATATGCACCTAGAAAATTGAATATGGTTAATACATATAACTGTTCTTTTCTTCTACGTATACTTTAATGATATTAAGTCGTTAGCTTTATATCTCAATTTTGGACTAGCGATCCGTTTTTATTAAATTAATCAAACATGGGTATACTCGTATATATTTATGTTAATGTATGTAAAGTATAATCTTCATATAAGTATCTCTTTGTAGACGGACTTTTTTTTTCTGTAATGTGCCACATACATCGCTAAACACAAACTTTCTTTATGGTAATAAGAATGTACCATTCTTCTATCCTCAAGTTGTATTCTATCCAACGTTGTATCTAGACAACGTTCTGATGCTGCGAGAACTGGAGGCAGACACAACTTTAAGAAAAATGGCAAACCTTCCCTAAATATCTTCACATAATATTTGGAAAAACATTTGCTGTTTGACTTTCGAGACTTTTCGAACTTAACCGGCTGAGGGGAAATGAAATCCGTGCGGGAATTGAGTAGAGGCTTAGACTTAGAGAGGGTTAAGCTTCTCGCTTGTGATCGTTCCTTGTTGAATGAATTCCGCCATTTTGGCATTGCTATGCGACGGCAACGTTTGATCTCTATTTGATTGCATTATACGATACAACTAATATATATTCAGAAGTGCCCCCAAATACGGAATACGGTATTTGGAATATAGCGTAACATTCTATATTGGATTATAATCAGTTCTACAAATTACTCGATACAGTTATACATTATCAAATACCATTAATAGTACAGTAACTCATTAAATTTAAATTAATTATGAAAAGCCACCAACAATTTACCTTTTCAAAACTAACATACTTTCAGTAATAGAATTGTGACTGGATACAGTTATGATTTGTGCTCTTTTAAGTTCCTGTTTGGAGCGTGGCCATTACTCATGTCGGGAGATGACAACACTGCGGCATACGGTGATACCATAACAAATAGGCCTTTTCAACGGCCACTCGATGTTTCAATAAACAAGCCATTTTGTTCCACATTCCATTAGAATGCGGGCGATGCATAAATATACCATTACATAAACACCAACTACGAGAACGTATTTAAGTGTTGCTACATGCATAAATTGTCGCGTGAAATAAAATAGTTGCCTTTGTTGGTATTATATATAAAATTAAAACGAGAATCTTTATTAATTTCAAGGGGGAGGAGCAAGGAGGCCTTGTACACTCATAGCGCACCCGTAAACTCGTAAATAGCAGTCAGAATAAAACGAATGAATGAAACAAGTCAGCATTAGAGTACTCGACTTATAAGCAACGTTTGCAAACAGTCGCGAAAGTTTCCATTTAAAACATTTTTAATTGGATACATTCACGACACTGTCAGTTTTACTTTTCCACAAGACTGTGTACGACATGTTTCAAAAGGGTTATTTTGTAATATTTTATTATATAATATTGTTGGTTAAGACGTCATTAATGAACACCAGTTTGAAGAAGAAAAAGATATAACTTATATTTCTTTTCACATAACAACAACAAACAAACATCTCTCTCATCTCACGAAGTCCTAATAGTAGTAAAAAATTAAATTGGAAGTTTATCGACATATATAATCTAAACAGGTAGATTTTTATCAAAAAAAAAACCGACTTCAAACATCTCGTTTTCTATATATTTTCTATTTCGAGGAGTTCCCTGATGTCAATGTAATTAATATGGAACCACGTGGGATTAAATAAAAGTCCAATGCAAATACTATTTTGAAATAATGACCGAGTTCTAAATGTAATAAATATAAAATAATACGACCGAATTGGGATCCTTGTCTTATTTTGAATTCGGTTGAAAATATAATATAACTTGCTCGATAACATGATTCTACATGCCAAATTCAGAAGTAACATAATAGTATTATTTGATTAAACCAATACTTTTCTGTAATAACCATGAATTACATTTGGTATCTAATCAGAGAACCTATCTCCGTTATTGAACTGGAATGATATTCGTATTCGTTGAAAGTTTCTCTTCTATTAATAAATGTCTAATTAATATACAAATTTACTTTTACATTCTAAATTAAATTTTCTCTTTCAAATATATTTAAAGCATAACAGAAACTCGAAAATATCCATATTCATTATGTCAATAATGACATTCCTGCTTAGAAACTTCAAAAGACAGGGGACCGGAAATGTTTTATCAAAATTTCGTTATTACCCTGTTGACACGACCCCTGCCTCTCCCGTTGCGTCTGAGTCTGTGTTCAACGCGGTGAAAGCATCTTTCCCTTTAGGTAAAGGCCGCTGTTTAATTCTCGTAAAATCTTTGAAAATCTTTCCCGTGATGGTCTTTTAATATTTAATTTCCTTTTAAGGGCTATATTTTTTACACAGCTTTTTGCAAAGCTCGCTATGTCGCTTAAAAAAATTAAGTATCATCTGCCTGTTCTTCATAAAGTATTCTCTTTGTAATATAAATGAAAAAAAAAAATTGGCAAAACAACTGTACAAAGCTGTATTTTTATATTAATATTATAATGAAGCTCGCTCTAGATCTTAATAAATGTTCAAACATAATTAACACCATTTACGATGCAGAATAATGGTATTTAACTCATCAAGTTGATATATCAAACCTATAATACGATGATTGTTGATTGTTGTGTAAAATAAAAGAACTTTCTTGTACACTTTCATGTAACAACGTTGCCGTAATAGTTATTTCTCTGTTCAGGTATCAGCTTTTCCTTCAACTGAAACAGGACGTGTTGCGCGGACGTTTACCCGTGGGCTTCGAGCTCGCTGCGGAGTTGGCGGCTTACGTTCTTCAATGTAAGTGGTTTCTATTTACCCATATCGTATTTATCAGCTGAATAGACCGTCACTTCAGCGGCGGTGAGTTCCAGGCGGAGCTTTGTCGGGAAAATGACTCTCATTCCAACTTAAGTGGTCTCGGTACAAAAAGCCTTTGTCGGGAAGGATACCTAATTCACGAGATTATTTGGTGTTCTGCCTTTGTTCCGAGTATTTATCTTATGTAATTAAATAGAATTTAGACTAAGGGTAATTAAGAGAGATTGCGAGTAACGTTTTCCGTTTTGTGTTTGTTTTAGACCTTTAGATTTTTTCTTGCTTTTTATGAACGTTATATTCTGACGAGATATTTTTGCCCAGTCGAATTTCCAAGTTTTTATTACCTTACAATAAAGCCATACTTTTCGTTATCGAAACTACAACTTCTTTTTTGCATTCAATCATTTAAAGAGATGAATGTGATGAATATAAAATGTTTTATTTTTTACTATACACATAGACAAGAACTTTTTTCGCCGCTGCTGGCTTTCAAAAGCTAAGTGGTCACTATCCTTACCGAAAAGCTCTATATCGTATCTACTTTGTTTTAAATGCATTTTTAGAAGTGCTTGGCGTCATATAATGTGCTTCCTTTACCGCGTGTCGCATTCGAATTCTGGCAGCGTGGCGGTGGAACTTTTTTTATAATTTTATTTACATACACATTTTAATTTTCATCTTAAGTGGACTAGCACTAAATTGAAATATTTTGTTAGCTTAAACAACTTCTGGGCTAGAAAGATATCTAATTCTATTTTTACAAGCTTTTATTTAGTTTCAACTAGGTATCCCGATGTTTGTCATCAAATCTTGCAAATAACTTTTTTTCAGATCTATTTATTACAAAACGCGCCCGTTTGACTATCAACAAAGGACGTGTATGTCTGAGGTTCCCAGGCCATTGAACCATTACCGTTTCGAAAAGTTTCAATATAAATAAATTTGTTTGAATTTTCTATGAAAGCTGTAAGGAAGAATTTTACTGTTCCTATTCTATTGAATGGCACGGCTTAGTTATTCACATGTGAAGTTTTTAATTGCTACACAGTGGCTTCCGTACAGACCGAATTTTACTTGTTTTTGAGAGCCGCTTTGCTATATCCACGACCATTTCCCGGCTTTTACGCCAATGGAGGCAGCTCTTTGGCTGCAAGAGAACCGACTACGTCAATTTCGAGATGCCCAACCAGTGTACTGCGTGGAGCGAAATGTTTGTTTACCCCTCTGCACTTTGAAATCTAAATTGTTTGTGATTCTATTTGTGTATTTAAAAATTTCAAACGTGAATCTATGTTAGTTTAGAAGAAATAATAATTTTGTGGCTAAAGATAATTAAATATGTAGTAAGTATATAATGTTTTTTTTTTAAAACACCATACGATTTATAGGTGTGTGTTTTTTGCAAACAGACATCTATAAATCGTATGGTGAAATGACGTTTAATAAATCGAACTATCGTTTCAATTGGGAGCATATCATATTTAACTCGCTACGTTCAATTTTGATTTGAATCCAAATTTTACTCTAACGTAAGCTGAGATTTATGGTAAAGTCTTGAAATCTTTGATTGTTTGTTGTGTTTCCTTTTATTATAAATTAAAATTTATTTATTTCTATCCTATATACGTATATGCTTCCGAATCGTAAAACGGGTAATTTCACTTATAGTACAGTTCAAACGTTGCGTGTACACATAAACGCAATACGAGGTTATGTTATATTGCACCAAAAGCAAATGTAACGTACGGTACAAAAATATTCAACGCAAAATGAGATAACAATACGTTTTATGACTTGAGAACAGAATAGTCAGAGAGAGGAAAAATTTGCCTTTATTATAGAAAAACGCTTATAAAGGACGTTTAGTTAAACTTAATTAAGCCCTCGAGCAGATTGGACTTCTTCAAAGTAAACTAAAATTAAATCTCGTCGAATTGAACTCTTTTATGTTCCAAATCATTTTATAAACTTGAGACAAGACGAACTTTCACTGAATTAAGGTACTCAATTGCGAATACTATTGTGCATTGTGCTCACTTAGATACCTTAAAAAGACTTTTCAATTTATAAAGAAACAAAACAAAAGTTTAAGCCAACGGAACATGAAAGGAACAGGCTAATAAATTAAAAATAGAATCGCCTTTTAAAAATTTAAGGCAAAGTAGCATGTCCGCTTTTTTCCAATTCATACAATGGACTGCATTGTGCCGAGCACAGTCTGATTCATTTCCAATAGTTCAGTCAATCGTTACAGCCAATTTTAAGGTACTTACGTTTGCGATGACTTTACCATACACGGAAGAAGAAAACAAATTTTATCTAAGCAAATAATACAATAAACCTTTAGGTAATAAATTTGATTCACTGACTGATAAAAATGTTGGCTCCAAAAGAATATTGGAAAAACTGTGAATTTATATAATTTATGATATTGTGTGTAAAGATCTCATGAATATTATCGTAGCTCTGAGTTGCCATTATTAATTTATTTAATGAACAACAACATAATATACACTATTTAAGACTAAAGAAATTAAATATAGATCGACTCGTTCGTTAATGTCATTAATGCTGACAGCCTGAAATAATATTAAGATTATAACCCGTAATTAGAAACCATAATTACTGATAAGTGGAAAATTATCAGTAACTTAATGGTTGGTTTGTTCATAGAGCCAGATTATTTGTTGCTCTTGATGCATGTACAACTGAACAGACACGTATGTACTCGCTTGTCTTCGTTCTTGTGATATTTTTATAATATCCGATAAAAGCGTAATAAACGAGACACGTTATATCATTAACAATATATATATATTGTTACACACACACACACACATATATATACCGGTTAAAAGTTTAGCATCAATGCGTTATCCCGAAGGCAAATTAGTCATCAACGGCGGGCTACCGTCAGCGTCTAATCTCGTAAATATCAGTCATCCTCAAAGCTTTAGGGTAGCCATAAAGTGTGTACATATTACATTTTTGGGAAACTTGACCCAAAAACGAGCAGGGTTAAACTCATAAGACCAAACAATATACTGTGCCAACAATACAATGCTAATTATAAAAATTATCACTTCCTCAGTTTGGAAACTGCATTAATGTATTTACTTATTTTATAGATCTTGAACAAGATCTATAAAATATTAGGTTGGGGAAAAACTCTTTACGCAAATAGTATGTATGTACTTATAATATATGGCTATACCATTTGTACCTGGCTGGTTTTGGTATTATTAAAGAGTTTAAATTTTAAAGAAGATAATTCCAAATTTAAATTAAAGAAAAATGCACCTCGCTATGGGCGCCCTGTTACGGATAAAATGGATGCCATTCTTGCAAAAGTGGCAAGATCGGTAGTTTCGATGTAGCTGAAGAACTCGGAATCGACCACAAAGCGTTTTGGCGCATTTGAAAAAATATGGGTGCCTCATGAGCTCACTGAAAGAAACCTAATGAAATGTGTACTCATTTGTGATTCTTTATTACGACGTAATGTAACCGAACCATTTTTCAAAAACCTGATAACTGGTGATGAAAAGTGGATCACTTACGACAAGAACGTGCGAAAAAGGTCGTGGTAAAAGGCTGTTCGGGCATCACAGACTTTTGCAAAACCCGGGTTATCTCGCAACAAGGTAATGCTGTGTTTATGGTGGGATTGGAAGGGCATTATTCATTATGGGCTATCACCACCAGGCAGGACCATTGAATCTGAACTCTACTGCAAACAACTGATGAGATTAAAGAAGTTGAGAGAAAGCGGCTGTAATTAATCAACAGTAGGGGTGTGGGTTTTCATCATGATAACGCTACACATCTTTAGCCACTCAGCAAAAATTAAAAGAGATTGGCTGGGAGGTGTTAATGCAGCCGTATAGCCCTGACCTTGCACCTTCAGATTTCCACTTGTTTCGGTCTCTTCAGAATTCTTTAGGCAGTGTCAGGTTAACATCACGAGAGGACTGCCAAAACCACTTGTCGCGGGTTTTTGATCAGAAGCCCCAGAATTTCTATAGCAATGGGACCATGTCCCTACCTACAAGATGGCAGAAAGTTATCGAACAAAATGGCACCTACATACTTTAGTTAAATGTAAATAAACTTTATTAAAAAATGTTTTGAATTTTCATGTAAAATGCGAAGAAACTTTTTCCCCAACCTATTATAAAAAAACTTGTTGTTGTTAATATAGTATAATTTTCTACGGTTTATTTTACACGATAAATTTAAATGCTTTCTGAAATAGAAGAAGCCAATATGTATAAAAACGATTTACACTTTACCCTGTTAACAAAATAAAATTATGCATGCGAAGACTTGGTAAAAGCTTATTGTTTAATAAAATGTTTTATAAATATCATTCTTCTGAGATCCTGATCGGCCAGAAAAATTCCTAATTCAATAAAGAGCGTATTTAAAATTTTAAACTCACTGGTCTTCAAGCTCACATAAATTTATCATTTTAATTTATTATCGTGAATCGTGAAATACAGAAAAAATAAAGGAATGGAAATCCAGTTTTGAAATTTAATTTCTTCATCTACGCGGCCTGCCGTAATTTTTGTCTCACGTGTGAATGATTTTGTAAAAAAAAATATCATATTTCCATTTTAAAATCGTTATTAAAATGTCGAAGTGAGAAATTCATCATTGTGAAAAAAAAAATCCTCTTATGGCTGAAAGAATGGCAACACTGATGAAACCTCTAGAGATACGTACACGCGGTGAACCGTGCGAAATTATTGTAAGCTATTCGAGTAAATGGGGTTCGTAACCGCGACCCTCGCATAACAATTAGACCGAGCACAAAAAGAATTCCGCGCCATTATCGCGTCGTACCTGCTACCGACGATGGATGGAAATAATAATAAAAAAACAGCTACTGGAATTGCGGATGATTATGAAATGTTTCATTTTACCAAAATGGAGAATTTTAAAAGTATTCATTAGTATTTAATTGGTAAATTTGCAACCGCTGCCGGCGATAGTTATAGAAGATTGACGTGCGGTTTATACAACACTGAACATCGTAGAAATTAACTAATCAGCTGTAAAATGGCTTGTTAAATGTCAATTGAGTTGTAGGTTCTAGTATTACTATTACCAGTCACTACCCATTACGCCAATCGGGTCGTCAACGATAAAGTACTTAATTGTATTAAACAAACATTTTCATTCAATAAAGTAAAGGTTTTTGTTTACTTAAATGTTCGCATATGTCAATAAAAATATGGAGCAAAAAAGTTTCCTATTTATATTGGATCGGATATATTTGTCAAAATTTTTAAAACACAATCAACTTTCCGTTCAACATTTTTTATTCAGATGCGAATATTTATATTGCTCTCAATTTTCCATATATTTTCTATTCTTACATTTTTTGACTCAGGAAATAAAATGTATTTCTCTTTCAGTTCTATTTTTCGTCATCATTTTCGTCGACAGCGTCAGTTACAGTGAAAATAAGGGTGTATAAAACATAATGTATTATCACACTTAATAATTTCAACTTTATTCTTCATTTGAGCCCTGAAAGCCTCTGACGTTGACTCCTTATCCGTCAAGGCCATGTATTTTATGATACTATTACACGCAGAAAATAATTCTTTAAAGCCTGACAGATTTTAACATAATTAACACCTATTCTGTTCCAATATTTGGCAAATAGCCTAACTTGGCTAGATCTAAAAAAAATTTTTGAGAAATGTTTCTGTTATTAAAATGTGCCCCATAAAATTGACATTTATAAACTCTTCGAGTTTATTTTGTTTTTGGAGAAAAATTTTACTCTCGTATACAACGTCTTAAAAATGTAATTTGTCTCGAGTTCACGCTTAATCCCCAAAAACCTAAAAAACACGTTTCTGCGAGCGAGGAAGCCTATTTGTCACTGTTGGATACCATCTATTTTAAGGGTCTGTTCGCAAAGTCGCTTTCTGTTTTGAATTATCTCGAACACGGACAATGACCTGGTCCTTCCAAACAAGTTAGCCTCGAGTTACACTCCTAACATAAATCATCACTCATACTTTTGCGAAGAAAACTCGTGTTAGTCATAAACAATTTTCGTAATGCGAAAAAGTTTAACACGGGAAAGCAAAAAGCAAACCAATTACTTACGCTGACAAAGTGTCTTAGAGAGATTTGTCGTGAACACCAAAAGTAGTAAGTTATCCAATGAGAATCTAAATTACGGTTTGCCAGTATGAATTAAAATTAATAGCGTTCAATCTGCCTCCTTGGCGGCGACATCTCGCTTACTCAAGGGCATTTCACCAATAAAATCAATGTCTGTGTGCTCCAGACGTCGTTTATATTCGAGTACCTATTAATGCATAACTGATTGAATACCTCAATTCAACGATGCGACCACGATATCGATATTACAATCATATAGAATTATAACCTAAGTTTGTTTTGACGACATAGTTATGTTGACCATTTTATTTTGCATTATAAAAAATATTACAGGTCATTGAAAAAACCAAGAAAATTTAAGTACCTATTTAATGTTTTTGTTCTGAAAATAATGAGAAGTTACATGAAGTTATATATTTAAGTAGTTTAAATTTACGCCTGAGCTATAATATCCATCTCTACTGTTTAAATACTTTAACATCGATACTAAATTTGTGGTATTATTCAAGTGGATTCTTGAACAATTTAACCTAAAACGCTGATCAAATAATTTAGAGTCCCTATTAATTATGAAGAGTGGGTTTATTTCCTTTCAGTTGATGTTTATTCCATCGTTGAAAGAAACCATTTACCGATCAAGTTTCTTTGATCTTCAAAGTTCAAACACGAAAAACACACTTTAAACTCTAAATCTCACTGCTTCTCTAAAATTTAAACAGTACCTATTTTAAAACAATATTTCAGGTAATTAATAAATATATTTTCGTAGTAATAATAATATAATTCCCATAAAACTTTTGAGGAAAAAAATGTTTTGCATATTGTAAGGCATTGTAAAGTTACGTAATCACGATCATTCCAATAATATGAGACAATCGCAGAATTGTATGTATACTTTGTATGAACTAATTGCCACTTAGTTCCGCAATGGAGTGTACCAGGAGTTGCGATTTCCTATAACTAAAAAGATATACGACGGGAAATGACAGTCTGTCTACGTTCACTTTAGCAGTTTTTCAGATCCAAGCACACAAATGTTGGGGTCATTTTTCGTTCGATATAGTTAAGTTTGTTCATTGAATGTTACGCACTCATACTGTTACAGGAAGACACGGTTTAGTTTTTATTCAATTTCTGTGCTATTCAATAGCGTTCGAGGGTTAGTAGTATTCATTTTTAAGTGTCAAATTATGTATGTCATTCCTGTTATGTGCATATAATGTTACGTAACAAAATATATTTCTTTCTTCCTCCTAAAATGTAGTTCTCGGATATTTCGAAGTAATCAATTTCCGTATTTTCTTTGCCAATTTACTTTATTATCATAATATCCTTACTTTACTTTGTTCTGTATTTTCTCAAATCGTTTTTATTGAAATGTTAAAAAGATTAATTTTATTGGCTTTCCTTTTAGTTGCCTATACGTTTTTATTATATATATATTTATACGTATAAATTGCCTACTAATGGTTTAAAATAAGTTCTTTGGTAACAGTCTAGTGACAAATGTAAATATGTTGTTTAAGATACATAAATTCAGTTTAAGTTTTATACAAATGTCCATTCATTTTTGTTAGCTACTATGAAGCCTATTAATTTTTTCTACATCGTCAGCTTGCTAACTTAATTGTTGTCAGGCAAACAAAATCTAAATTATTTAAAACTGTAGTTAAAATTAATTTTAAATTATCTGAATGAAACTTAAATGTTATGTAAACATTTCTGATGACTCCGTGGTCTTCATGATCGTTATGATTTAAAATTACTATGTTAGGTGTATGTAGTTAGGATATACAAAAATGTAGGACGATAAATGACTATACAATTTCTTGTTCCCACACGGTGTAATAATGTTTTATTAAACTTTATGTAAACCTTCTCTAAATTATTGATATTAGTTGTTGAACCTATGGCTGTTATACTACAGTTATTTGTTATGTTATGACACAACATAAAACACGTGTCGTTAGCTCGGGATATTTTCGTCCGCTTCTTACGTCTCAACACTTATTTGTTACTAGCCGGGAAGGTGGGCGTGACGGTTTTATTTTTATCTCATTAATGAACCCACTCCGACATTGTTTCTTTCGAAGTTAATTGAGGGATTATTCGTCCTTTAATGGGGTAATATATAAGAAGGTATGTTAGGACGGCAAAATTCTTGAACGTCAAAACAACGAACATTTCACCTCCCGCTTAGTGTATCTAACACTACTTATTGATGTTAAACAAGATTTCCGACATAGTGTATTAACAACAATTAAAATAAATGTCAGAAATTGCACGATAGATATTTACGAATGCCGTTATATGTATGATATGAACATCTTTGTTTGTAGCGGAGCTGGGTGATTACGATCCAAGGAGGCATGGACCCGGATATGTATCGGAATTCCGTTTGTTGTCGCATCAGACACCGGAACTGGAAACACGAGCCGTTGAAATCCATCGGACACTCACGTGAGTACATACATAAGGAATTTGTTTATAGGAGTATCAAATTGAAAGTTATGCTCACTGAAAGCTAGGTTTTTGTTGGTTTACTATGATGATATTTCATGAAATTAAAATGGATGGCCTTAAGGTCCATGTCGATTTATATATAGGCATTATTTGCAAAGGGATAATCCCACTCTTGGTAAAAAAAAATTGTTATAGTTAGGTTCTGTAGCTAATTTTAAATCGAATTATTAGTTTATACTTCTAATAACTCGTACATTATTTTAAACCAGTTTCGGTAAACTAATAATAAATTTGAAATTAATAATGGGAGCAAATCCAGAGATATATTTTAATAGATTAACACAAAATTTCACTTCGCATATTTTCCTCAGAGAAGCGAAAATATAAATGCGAAAATGTAGAATTTTCACTGCAATTTAATACCACTAAAAGTCTAACTCGCCTCAGAAACGGGACGTCGCCACCTTTCCCATTTAATTGAATGAATTTTTCAGTATGCAAAGATGCAGACCGTGGCCGGAGAGCGGCACAAAGACGCAATTACATGCAAATTACGTGTACCCACCTATTTACTCGCAAAATGCAGAACCGCACTAGTTCGTTGCCACTGATTGCTCATTGTTACGCTCAATTATACGACAAACGTCATTGTTTGCCTCATTGACGGTATTGTTAAATATTAAAAAAAAAATTAAAAACAAAATCTCAAACTCTTAAATCCTATAACATTATATCCCAAGTGTTTATTAAAGGCATTTATTTTATTTCATTGAAAAGACTAGATAAGGATGTAGTAAATTACCTATTAATTTGACTTTAGAAATTTAAATTAGAGTTTAATAGATAAATTATCGAAAAAAAAAGTAAAAATAAAATTTGTCGAGATAATCGCGTTGTGAGGATATCGGCCGCTTGCTCAGTTGACTAGTGTCTGAGAAGTGAGAGCGTTACACAGAAGTCACAGACTCGAATCCTCCCAGCGTACAAAATTTTACGTCAATGTATCTATTAAAATAACATTTAAATTTTAACTTGAGTGCAATTTAGCACTAAAATTAACCCTTTGCATATATAACTATTTTAATATCTATAGTTTTATAAACTTTTTGATCGTGAGCAATAGTCACATATAAAACGTGACGTATAAAGTGACAGTACCTGGAGGACAGTTTTTTTTGGTAAATCATTCATTTTGGAAATAAAAAAAAAATAAAGAAAATGATGTGATACAGAAAAAAAATAAAAAAATAATTGTGTATATGATCGTGATACGAACCGCGGCCGTCTGTTTTGGGGCCGCCCGATTACCGACCGAGCTATTATAACATTTTTGGCGGCGAAATTTACTGTCATATTCGAATATTTTTCATTCCCTGAAAACATGGATAAAAGGACATTTTCTAAAAATGAAACCTAGCTAGATCGATTTTTTGCCCCCGAATCTACGCACATACTAAATTTCATTAAAATCGCTGGAGCCGTTTCCGAGATTCCGATATACATATATATATATATATATATATATATATATAGAATCTCGAATATATATATATATATATATATATATATATATATATATATATATATATATAGAATTGCTCGTTTAAAGGATAAGATACAATAAGCTATTCCGAAATTCTGAATAAATGTTAAAGTGAACTCACCCTTTGCAGAGGCATCTCGCCCGCGCAAGCCGAGCTTAGTTATTTGGATAAAGTGAAATGGCTGGACATGTACGGCGTCGATTTGCACCCGGTCTTGGTGAGTGAGAGTGACGGAAACAATAAATTCGTGGCTTAAACATAAACAAAAGATGCTTGTTCTCTTAATGCAGGGCGAAGACAGTGTGGAGTACTTTTTGGGACTCGCGCCAAGCGGCCTGTTGCTTCTACGCGGGAAGCACACGGTCGCCAACTACTATTGGCCGCGCGTTTCGAAGTTATATTACAGGGGACGGTACTTCATGCTTCGTGTTGCGGATAAAAATGTGAGTGGTACGATGTACATTTGTTGATAGTGTGTTGGAAACAAAAGTGAAAGAGAAATTACTTGACTCCTTAGCGAAGTTGTCAATGTATTGACATCGGCGTCGGTGGTCGTGGGTTCGATCCCCACACTGGAAAACTATTTGTGTGACCCACACATAGTTGTTTTGCATCTGGGTGTTTGTCCACGTACATTTATGTTTAATACAAGTTGTAAAACACCCTCACAACACAGGATACTGTTATCCTAAAGTAAAGGCAATGTCTTTTAAAGTAAATAAAAAAAAATAACAAAAAATTAATCAATGCATTTCGTCAAGTAGTTTCCACAATTCAGCACTTAAAATTAACTAATTATTCATGGGTGGGATCGAATTCAGGTAGTATATTGAATTAATTTAAAGCGAGCGCCCGGACAACGAACTATCACGGTTTGGTTCAAAGAAGAGGTATTTTAGTACTACCGAATATCAGATGTTGCAAAAAAGTCTATCAGTTGGTAAGTTAACACTTCATTAATTCAGACTTCCCTCTAAAAAAACATGTAGACATTTACTGTACGAGACATGTTGGGGTTGACGTGTCCACATGGCTAAAAACCTCGAATTAAATTCACAAAAATTAAAAAAAAGTAACAAAAATGTACTAGTGGGGATTTAGATCACGTCTACCTATAAAATGTAAAAAAAATCAATTGTCTATATGACTAGGGCTAGTGTGTTAAGTATTTCACAATCGATTAAAACCGAGCATAATTATAAATGCTTCTTTATGATAAACATACTCATGTAAAGTTTAATGGTGATAACGTTTTTTTATACATTTTGTATATATTTGATAGGCCTATATTCATTCATATCCTTCGAATCGAACACAAAGCGTAAGGCTGGCGGTCCTCCTAACCTCATCTCAAACGGACCAAACAATAAGGCGTAATACTTGACCCGTTTCCGCCTCGAGATCGCGCCATGCGATTGTCGGATGTTTTGAATACGGCTGTAAGATAGAGTCGACCATATGCCTTTTCCTTGAAAGACATTCGCAGGCGGGCAATTACAGATAAGTCCCGTAGAACTAAGCGGTGTATTTACTGTGCGGTGGGTGGGCGCGCTCTGATAAGACGACGCGCCCGCTGCCAACGCCGCCTGCTGCTTATTTTACCGACTTCATATATTCCTAAACCGGCGCTGTATTAACTAGAAAACAAACTTTACATTGCTTGGGAGGAATTTAAAATTTGATCTTTTGAGACCCCAACTTCGAATTGTAACCGAATAGGCGAGCGTTTATACATCTTACAATATAGTTAATTACACTATTAATTGCTGTACAACGTGTATAATGCTAGAAGCTTAAGTGAGTCAAAGAGAGAGTTCAAATAACTTAACCAAGTTAATTAGTACAATAAATTAAACACAGATAATCTTAGCATGTCTTCTACTTTGTCTAAACTTCCATTTAAAATTTTATGTTGCTATGTTTCGTTTACGACCTTCTAGAACGAGACATTAACCTACGGCTTCGAATCTCCTACGCGAGCAGCGTGTCGCCACTTGTGGCGCTGCTGTTCCGATCACCATACCTTCTTCAGGCTGCAGCAGACCTCGCCCGCCTCGGCTGACATGTTCGCTTTGGGCTCACGACTGCGCAATAGGTGATTTATGTAATTAAGTAATATGGGATCCATCACACGTTATGAACGTGTGCGATGGTATTCAGTGATAGAGGTGAATTAAAAAAATTGATTCGCGACACCTTAAAATTGATGCCAGAGCTTTTTTCAGTTCGAATCTCGAATGAATAATATATTTTTTTTTTATTTAATTGCCGATTTATCGTGTTTCAAAACGGTGTCGACTACACAATTCGAACACCTTATATTCTCTGTTCTGCAAGAGGGCTTGATCACATCTTTAGGCCATTTGCCAATATAATATCTATCGTAACTAGTGTAATGATTGAAATGAAAAAATTTAACAGTAAATGGTTTTGTTGCTAATAATTGTATTAAATTTCTTAAATATTTTTCATAAATCCGCTATATTTTACAAAGTATAAAACAAAGAATTTTTAAGTGACTATGAAACTATAAGTTATGCGCAACTTTAATCCCCGTTAACTTCAAGGGGTGTAGACGAGAGCACTTGTGTTCAAAATATGAGGGTTGGTTTCATCTCAATCTTTATGTAATGTAAATTTCAAGTGGATTCTTAAATACTCCATATATATAAACCCTTTCTACTTTGTTTGTTGTTCAAGAATTATGTCCATCATTATGAAATTTTACTAACAACAACCAACTTTAAATTTTGTGTCGACGGAATTATTATTGACACAAGAAACACACTGGAAAATAGACTTTACCATTTGTCCTGTCCATCCCATTCAAAATTAAGGACTGAGAGGCTATAATATTATTTATTATTTAAATTGAATTGTACAATACTTTTTTTGCGTAGGAACACTTCACACAAGGCTTTCACATGTTTTCCATTCAAATTCCACCCTACTTATTTGGTAAAGTTATATTGATACTCGTGTTATAGCGATGTGTTGATATAAATCATTCTCTAATATTAATGAAAATGCCGAGTTTCGACTTATAGTAATCTCCTTTTATACGAAATACGTTACGGTGCTTTATTATATGTGGGAGCGATCCCTTATTGTGTTACATCTTACTTGCGCCTGGCTTACCGCAACTAAGCTCTGATTTATGCCCTTCAATATGTTACTTTGGATACGCTAGGTATGTTGTTACCACCCTAACAATTATTTGAAGTGATTCATTAAAGATCTTGATTAATTATTCCGTGTTCCTCACGAATATGTATGTACGGGATCAAAGCAATACGCAAAATTGAATGTTTAAACAGTAAAACATTTTTATAGGTTGGGGAAAAAGTTTTTTGGCATTTTATATGAAAATTCAAAACATTTTTAATAAAGCTTATTTACATTTAACTAAAGTATGAAGGTGCCATTTTGTTCGATAATTTTCTGCCAACTTGTAGTTAAGGACATGATCCCATTGCTATAGAAATTCTGGGGCTTCTGATCAAAAAACCGCGACAAGTGGTTTTGGCAGTCCTCTCCTGTTATTAACCTGACACTGCCTAAAGAATTCTGAAGAGACCGAAACAAGTGGAAATCTGAAGGTGCAAGGTCAGGGCTATACGGCTGCATTAACACCTCCCAGCTAATCTCTTTTAATTTTTGCTGAGTGGCTAAAGGTGTTCGAGGTCTAGCATTATCATGATTAAAAATCACACCCCTTCTGTTGATTAATTTCGGCCGCTTACCCTCAACTTCTTGCTTTAATCTCATCAGTTGTTCGCAGTAGAGTTCAGAATCAATGGTCCTGCCTGGCGGTAACAGCTCATAATGAATAATGCCCTTCCAATCCCACCATACACACAGCATTACCTTGTTGCGAGATAACCCGAGTTTTGCCAGATTCTGCGAAGCCTGACCAGCCTTTGACCACGACATTTTTCGCATGTTCTTGTCGTACGTGATTCACTTTTCATCACCAGTTATCGGGTTTTTCAAAAATAGTTGGGTTTCAATACGTCGTGATAAAGAATCACTAATGAGTACTCGGTTCATTAGGTTTCTTTCAGTGAGCTCATGAGGCACCCAAATATCGAGCTTTTTTGTGTACCCAGCTTTTTTCAAATGCGCCAAAACTGTTTTGTGGTCAATCCCAGTTCTTCAGCTACATCGTAACTACTGATATGCCGATCTTGCTCTACTTTTTCAAAAATGGCATCCATTTTATCCGGAACAAGGCGCCCAGAGCGAGGTGCAACTTTGACATCAAAATTTCCGGATTGAAAACCCTTAAACCAAATTTGTGTTACTCTCACAGACACTGCACTAGGTCCATAAACACCACAATTTTTTTTCGCAGCTTGAGTTGCATTTTTACCTTTTTTGTGGTAAAATTTTAAAATGTTTCGAATTTCTTCATTAGAATCACTCAACTGAATAATAAGAAAAACAAATGAAAATCACACATTTTCCTAATTTGAATTTGAAATTATCTTTCTTAAAATTTAAACTTTTTAATGATACCAAAACCAACCAGATACAAATAGTATAGCCAAAGACATTATATAATAAGTACATACTTACTATTTGCGAAAAGAGTTTTACCCCAATCTAATATAATAATTTGTATGGATTTCGCACTACAATTATTATGAATGATAAATAAGTAATACGATGCCTTAATAAATTTAATAGCAATTTTACAAAGTTTGTTAATTGCGTTACATCATATAACATTTAAAGTTGAAAAAATAAATCACTGTACAAAATTTTCATTGAATATTAAACATAATTAACACAATATGTATCGTATTATGATCTCCACAATAACCTTAAAATCGCTTTGAAATACAACAGTATCTGAAATCGAACATGGTTCCAAATGCAAGCGAGACTCCACTTAAATGATTATTTAAATGATAAACAGTTTATGCTTGGCACATGGAACATCGTACCTACTACTGACAATTAAAATGTATATAATTTATGATTTTGGTTAGCAGCGCCAAAGGGGCGCGAGCTCGACAGCCACCTGCGTTTACAAGGACCCCATCGCGACGTATTTCTCGACCGCCCTCTACCTATTCCTCAATGCTGGATGGTAAATAAAACACCAATTTTTTCCAATATAGAGGCGTGGTTGCTCAAAAGTAAGCTGTATTTTTTGTTTTTAGTGCCAAAGCTAGAAGACTTGAGAATAAAAGACTGTCCACCTGAAGTGAAACAACCTACCTCAGTAAACCGGCCTAACTCGTAAGTCATGCTGTTTTTTATTATTAGTTTTATGTAGTTTGTTCGCGTTTTATCTAAGATTGACCCAAATTTCTACTGATGAGATGTAACAGTGAAACTCTTGGACCGCTTTAATATATAACTTTAGCTTTATCTTCTTAAATTACGTATTAGTATGTTTTCGCCACATTTCCCTTGTACCGTTGTTTTTGTTGTAACGTTTCTCAATTTTTTAATGTAAAAGGTTAACCACAAATACCTCAGTCGCCAGACGAAACGCGAAGGTTCAATACTTCCACTTCTCGCTTATCTTGTGAGAGGTACTTCTCTGGACGAGGCTACCCATTGGGGCAACAGTAGTGGATAAAATGAGCGTGGCATCTACCGACCTAGCTGCCACGCTCATTCTATCCACCACCCTGGTTATAGAAATTTTTATAATCGTACTTGCTATTTCATTGATACACTACATGTTAAATATGATGCCCTAAAAAAATTAATAATATTTCGTTAAGACTATAATTCTAGTCAGACAAGGACAGACAGGAATAAACCATTCACTAAGCTTGTTATATGTTTAGAAATATTCATTCCCATAACTGCAGCAGGCTTAGTTAATTCGTTTACAATGGTAGACATAGCTCCTCTAGAACATAGGTACGGGAGTTATAACGTTATAATATTATGTATAATACTTGAGTTTCTGTGCAATAATGTGCAATCTATTTGACGTCGGTTCAGAGCACAAATTGTACAAAGGCTTTAAGATAGTTTCAGAGCAATGCTTATGACTTACACATGAATTTGTGGCGTTAATCTCGTTTCAAAGTAACTATTATTTCGTCGTACTGATATAATAAGAATATAGTCTTCCATGTTAAGGATTATATGTACACAGCCTGTGGGCTGAAAGTATATGGAGCCATGGAGCGCAAAACTAGTGTGCGCCTGAGTGAAGACGGCTTTGCTAGTTTTGCGCATCGCTAACTATATAATCGGCTCATGTCGTTACTCAATATATATTTATCTATTCTCTATATATTATTAGAGCGGTGCCCAATATAGTATATATATACTATAAACATAAAGAAAGCGTGTTCACGTCAGTTTGTTCTCAACTGTACACCAAAACGGGAAAGCGATTTAGACTGCGCGGACGACATGTACCGCCGACGCCTAAGCTCTACCGCAATGACTTGGAGTTTCAGGGCAGATTAAAGTTTCGTCCACTTCGTATTTGGTGTATCGTAGACTGAGTGGTGAGATGGCGGGCTGCGAGACGGGCGGGTCGCCGCGCTCCACGCGCTCAGCGCCGGCACGCCGCGGACTGTACTCCGCGTCGCCGACCGCCACGCGCCCGCCGCCCGCACCGCGTCACCGCTCCGCATCCGTCGACTCACAGAGCTCCAACGACTCCAGATCCAATCGCAAGTAAGTGTTTTGTATTCGAAATTAATTTTTTTTTATGGGAAAAGTTGTCAAGCGAGCAGGCGGTTCACCTGATGTTAAGTGAATACCGCCGCCCGTGGACATCTGCCACACCCGAAGGTTTTCAGATACGTTGACAACCTTTTGAAAATTGGGCTCCGGCTACCTCACTCACCAGACGAAACGCGAAAGTATAGAAGATACTTCCACTTTCGAAGATACTTCCACTTACGAAACGCGAAAGTATAGAAGATACTTCCACTTTCGAAGATACTTCCACTTACGAAACGCGAAAGTATAGAAGATACTTCCACTTTCGAAGATACTTCCACTTACGAAACGCGAAAGTATAGAAGATACTTCCACTTTCCACCGGTCTTCTGTGAGGTCGTGGTACTTACCCGGACGAGCCTGCCCATTCGTGCAACAGCCGAGGCTGCTGCGTGGCCCTACCACAGTTAGCGTATGCGAGGTTAATTTAAACCAATGAGACTGTCATCAGGAATAACAGGGTTTTGGAGATTGGGGACCGCACAACTTGAACTTTCGTAGGACCAAAAATCGTTGGGGAGAGAGGTTCTCGAATGGCAGCCTCGTATTGGCTATCGCAATATACCGATTGAGTGACAACTTGTGCAAATGTGCGGGAAGTCGATGGATGCTGGTGGCTCAGGATCGTGCTTCGTGGACAGGGTTTGGGTAAAGTTCAGCTGTGGACTCGAACAGGCTGAAATGATGATGATGATGAATGAGAGTGTAATTATAATTAACGGAAACAGACCAGCTATCTACGTATTTATGTATATGAAAGAAGCAAAAGAGATGTGCAGGAACGGAGTAATACTTAGTCATACTTCTATTTCCCGAGACACCTAAGGCTGTACTCCTTTTACTTTTTAGGTGTAAAAGTAACAAAAGTTGCTGTAGTAATTACTAATTATTGTGAGACACCGAATATTAATTCTAAGGTAAACAATCCAATATAAATAAAATCAGGTACACGCCGGTGATTATTGCTACATTAACAAATTTGATATCGCGAACGAAAAGAACAATAGTCTAATTATTTTAAATACAGCGTGTCGTTACAACCGCGACAATAAATGAACACACGTCTAACTCTACATGCCAATAATCATAAAAAAAATGTAAGCGTAAAAAAAACCCATTATTATAACATTTTTTTTCAAACAAACTAATTAAATAAAAAAGAAACAGAATTTGTAACCAGCTATACAACTACAACTGACTGATTCATACATTCAGAAACGATTTCATTCGTTGCCACAATGGCGCATTACAAGTCTCTTCTTCTAACAGTACGTTTTATCTCTTTTAATTCATTCAACCCATTCATATGCTTTGTGACCTTTACAAATGAACTTTACGTTATAGTTTTCTAAGTAAGGGTGTTCTAAAAAGGTTTGTTTTGTAAAATTTAATAACTCTGTAAATATTGTTGTTTAAAAAATGTAATTGCATAATACAATTTAAAAAAGTTATTCTCTATATGTGTGTTCATTTACTGTCGCGATTGTAACGACACGCTGTACACAAGAAGAGACAACAACAGAAAATATCCTTTTATTAATAAAAAAATCCATTACTCAATAATGAAAGAAATGCGTTCCGGATAGAAACCGCAACGAAAAATGGGTAATATTATCAGATTATCTTGGCCATCTTATTTTTATTAGATAAAGTTTAAAGAGACTTCAACTGAGTGAGGAGAGCATTAGAAAATAAGAGAAATCTAGTAACAGTTCTTGAATATTACAGGTTTTAAGGCATCAGAAGATTTAAGTTGATATTTATTATGTGTAACCAATGAATTATTATTACTATTAGCTATTACGAAAAAAAAGTTGTGACGAAAACGAGAGAGTACTACAATAAATTTTACATTAATAAATACAATATTTGTATTCTTATCATATTTTGCCTTTTTTTGAAAGAGTAAAAGAAAGGACCGTTTAAATTATTTGCAAAAAATGTAATTTATTCAGATACTGACTGTTTTATATAATATTTAATTGATGAGTATTATAATTAAGCATAATGGATATTTGACAAGTATTCAACAAGACGATAACAAAAAAATTATTCTTCAACATAACTGGACCCAGTTATTGATGAATTTAAATAATATGAAACCTACCTCAGAAGTGTATACTCGTAATATCTCTTTGCTTACTTTTCATCTTAAGCATATTTTCGAATCGATCACGTTCGAGCGCACCGGAAACGGATTTCTTGATGGTTTTATGCGGTTTGTAAGGCGATTATATACCGGGATGGGGGAAAATAGATTACTGCGGCGTCTAACTGAATCCATCTTGTCTCCATATAAGAAGCTACTCAATAAGCGGTATCGAAGCATACAATTTCATTCATCGGGACGTTCACAGAAATAGGTCTTTATGGATAATTTAATATATTAAGCTGCTAAATAGATTCAATCTCTTACGTGTACTTCTTGCTTTAGTTTTATTTAATAAATGTTTGGCACGGCTCAGGTTATTTTATTATAATACACATTTGGATAAGTAAATAAACGATTTACTCGCAATCTTGTGCTAACTCGAAAAAGTGATGTGCTTTTTCCGGAAAAGTAACAAGTATTTTTTAAAAATATTATTGAATCTCTTCCAAGAAAACCGTCTGATCATTGGCCAGCATCCGTCTCTAAGGAGATGATTTATATGTAGCGTCTGACCATAAAGAACATCTGCGCTCGTGGTCAAAATCTATATGTGAGCAACAGATGCGGTCACTATATTGTTATGTGTACGTAACCATATAATAATGGTATAAAAAATATTGTATAATGTATTACTTATTAAAAAAAATACCATTGAAATACATTTTTAAATATTGACAACAAATACGACTTTCAAGTGATTTGTTTTGGCGCCAGATGTGTGTAACTTAAAGATATGCATACACGTTGGCATCAATTTTAATACAAAATAAAAACATGAAAAGACAGAAAAGTTTTACATATGAAGTTTCATAAATAGGCTACCTAGTCAGTTTCATAGATAGTTGCAGTGCAAAAGTACACGTAGACTGGGCATTGGTCGCAATGTAGGGGTAGGCATAGACCATTACCGGTTGCAATGTACGTACAGACTCGGGCGTCGGTTGTAACGTAAAGGTGTGTGCAGACACCGGCATCGCTCGCGACGGCAGCAGTCGGACGCGGAGAGCGAGCTGTCGCGCGGCTCCGGCCGCTCGGGCCGGCGACACCGGCGACACCGCTCTCGACATAAACACGACTCCGGCTCCGAGAGGGACGACTCGCAACCCGACACCAAGTGCGTAATCGCTTCCCTCTAGTCCCGGCTGGAAAATTTTCCCCTGCCGACATCGCTTCAAATCCACGATAAAAAGCTTTCACACCTACCCGATTCAGCCAATGCAGACTGTGTTTATAGATTGAGAATTAGAATATATTTCGACTTTTAAAGTATGTGTATTGAATAAATTAAAATATTTATAAGACAATGATAAAATACTCGAATAAAATTTATCTGAGAAAGAGTAATGGACACTGATAAATCAAATTATTCATTTGATGATGTATGCTAACGTATGTACTTCTTTGTCAAAAAAGGCAGCAAATGAGCAGAATTTAAAAAATAATAATTTTATTTCAAATATAATCAAGACCTTTTACGATGCAAATTACTTTACTCACTAAGTACTTCATTCTAAGTTTCTAGAATCATCGTAATTTTATTTCAAAGAGTGGGGTAAAATATTGGTTCATCTGCTTAAAGCTCGATCCTAACAATTGGGATAATTACAGAGAATACGCGTTGGTGGATTCAGAATCTCAATGGAAGGAGGTCCTGAGACAGACTAACTCTGGAGGTGGAGTACAGGTAAGGTATCTGAGCCACAGTTAGTTTTTATTAGATTAATTTTTAAATAAACAAAATTTTATATCTCAGGTAGCGAATGTGCGTCGATCACATATGGAACCGGAGACTGGGACACATCGTTCGTCTCATAGACCGCGTAGGCACAGGAAACATCGGTATCCACATATCTAATAATTTCATTGTTATATATGTATCTGTTCTCTCGTTTATTTTGTAATGATATCCTTTTAGATCACGATCGGGTTCACCTAACGAAAAGAAATGGCTGCCGAATGAATTGAAGCAACATCTAGAGTTCTCATTAGTCGATACTGCTGGAATGACAGAAGAACAACTGAAGGAAATTCCGTATACAGTAGTGCAAACGAGTCATGCACGCCAGACCAAGCTTAGGACCTCATCAAAACATAGACAGTAAGATTTTTTCTAAAACAACCAGTTATTAATCTTGAATAAGATGTGTATATTGTCCACCGTATTTTAATAAAATCTTTCAAAGAAATCATGGGATTTAATTTGTTAATGTAAGCAAAATTGCATTTTAACCAGCCAATAATTAAGAATTTCTTTTTTTGAGAGAAATTCAGTGCATACTAAAACTGCAGTAGAACAAGCGACAGCTTCTGTCATTGTATAAATGGGTCGGCTCGTTTGGAAGACTTGACGCCCTAACATAACACCAGTGTAAAGTAAAAGTTAGAGCAGCAATTCTTTGAGCGAGTGAGCCAAAAGCAACTGCAATCAACAAGGTGGTGGTTACCTTTTAGTTAGAGACGAACTTTTCGATAAATAACTAATTTATGCACTTTCTTTAGGACTGATAATGGATCTTTGTCAAAGAGAGATAAAAACTCGGCACCTCACATCAAGAGCAGCCACGATGTTCATAATCAAGGGTCATTGAGGTCAAGTTCAAGCACCTTAAGTACACACAGGAATAACGATAAACACGGAAGGTTCGTTTAGATCTTGACAACATTTATGCCTGTTGCTTTTCAAAGTTCTCTTTAAGTTAAAAGTTTCATTTTATATAAAATATGTATTTTTTACTAATCTGAGATCATTTCTATTTAGCTTTCATCAATTCATGTCAGTCAAAATCAATTATTTCGAGGAAATTTCTAAGGCTTTTTTTTGAACGTATGCCTTTTTTCAGACGAGCGTATTCTGGTTACGAAGAACAGTTGTCACGTTCAGGCGAAGAGTTCTTGAATAACGGATACAAAGTAACTGCTACTCCAGTGTCTAACAATAACAATCCGTACAGTCCTGTTACCAACAGTAACAGTAACAGTTCCAGCGGGGAACTGATTTCCGGCAGCGCTCGCGTCTCGCACGAGCACACTGATTCCGGTCTGGGTGCCGACCAGGACTACGCGTACTCTTCAGAAAGGTAAAATAATTTTTAACAAAAAGAAACTGATTTCAATCAGAAAATTAAGGAAAATTGTTAAATGCTAATACCTATAACACTCAATTATGGCCCTCGATTTCTCTGGGATGCCATCATCAGATCCGGGTTTCCTTATCATTGTACTACCCTTGGGATATCTCCTTTCCGACAAAAAAGAATCATCAAAATCGGTTCATAAACTACGAAGTACACAAAAAAAAAGTATATACGGTCGAATTGAGAAACCTCCTCCTTCGAAGTCGGTTAATAACACACGACCTATTCGTACTTTCAGATTATTTTAGAGGGAAAAGTCTGTAGTAATCCTATTGCTGTTTACTGAATTAAAAAAACAAATACCTGTTATACATATTGGGGATGCTCTCCCCATCTTAAATCCGATTTGACAGAAACGTGATAAAGTTGGAAGAAGATTCGAATGAAATGTCAACAATACTCATGTCACAAGTAGTAGGTACAATCGATTCAGATAAAAACGGTAGATGGTATTTTATGTTTAATTTTTATTGAACCATTTACTTCAACTACTTAAACTATCTCTTGTGTAAGACTATTTTTATAATCAGACTAAGTAAAAACGAATTTAATGGTTATTTCGATTGGATCTGTCATGAAGTAACAAAAAAGAGAGAGTAAAATAGAGCACTACAAGTCAAACATTTAATAGTCCGGGATCCCAGGCCCATTTCCACCTTTTATTACTTTCTTTTGACGAGACGCCCAACTTTTTCCTTACAACAGTTTTGGTAAACGGTAGCTAACAGGGTTAGCAGAAGTGAAATATTTGATTTGACGAATTTCAAAAATTGATTACTAACAATTTTTTTTTTAATTCCCGAGATAATTATCTAAATAAACCGAAAACATATTTGTCCTATAAAATTCAAACTTTTATCAAAGGGTCTCCCCTCTCCAACATGTATAATTAACAAGGTTATGAAAAATAATTACTAACCAGCTGATTCTTTTTCTATTGGTTAGTTAATATTTATATAATTTAACACCAACATTGTCCTACAAATTGCGTGGTACAACGTCCTAGTCCTACGATCAAAAGCTGTCAATGCCACAAGACAATTTTTTTTTTTAGTAACTGTAGGACAAAAGTATTATGTAATAGATTAGTATGTTTTTTGTCCAAATAAAACAATTTCCTACAAAAAAACAGGTATGTATTATCCTATCCTTCAAGAATTGTCGTTTTCGTTTCCCTATTTGTAACACAGCATAAAGTGACAACATATTTTTTGAAATTTATTTCACAATAAATAAAGTGCCCTTTTTATATAAATAATAACCGAACCTCTGATTGTTATTAGAGCAAACTGAAAACACGTGGAAAATTTTACTATTGAATTTAATATTTTTATATTACAATCCAAATTTTTGAGGAAATAGCTTACTCACAAAAATCTGCTTGTTAGTAATAAAAGGTGAAAATGGGCCTGGGATCCCGGACTATAATGAGTTATTTTTAATATTTTGTATTGTATTTTATGTTCTGCAAAATTTTAATGATGATCTAGCAAATCAAACCATTTTACAAGATGACGATAAGCGAAATCAAATACAAGAAAAGTTAAGGAAAAATATGCAACGCAAATAAATCGTTCTCTATTTTTTTATATATAGTTTCTATTAAAGTACGAATAGGCCTCGATAACGTTTATTATGTAGTTTCTATATACTGTGGCTTGGGGACATAATTGTATTGTTCAGTTTTATGAGCTGTATCTTGCAAATGGCTTAGTAAATAATGTCGTTATGACGGTCTGTTGAACAACGCACGAACTAAACGGTTATTGTAATCCGTACCAAGTTCGACGGCTTCTCCCGGTTGTTGCAGAATAACGCAAACTGCAAATATGCGAATATGTATGCGTGCAGGATTGTGTCTTTGTGTGTGTTTATTTCTTAAGCACCCACCCTAATGCTAAACCTAAGCTATGTTTATGCATATAGCGTATAACTAGTCAGTTTATAAGTATTATTGTATATACGGCTTATTTCAAGGCAGGTTGCCACGAGATGCCTGAGCCACCTAATAGATTCATAATACATCTGAATGTATGATGAATCTATGAGGTGTTTGGTTCTCACTGCGGTAAAGTTAGCGTATCCTAATTGTACCTGGCATTAGGGTACAATTAGGAGACATAACATAAGTTGCGCTGTAAATGTGTTTATAGTTTATATACTTCAATGGCGCGTCTTAGCGTCCTAGTAGTCTTTCCAGTTCATTCAGATCACTGTTTTGCTAACTATACCCGTTTCGCAACTATTTGAGAAAAATCAGTTCATGAAACGTGTAAAAAAACATAAATCAAATAAATTGTATACCAAAATAGAAACGTATTACAAATAGAAACGTATTACTTATAACAACCACATAATAATAAATAAATACACCATATATTAAAATTAAAATATTTTTATTCTGACGATGAGTATTGAACGAATGATGTTGAAATTGAGACTGAATTACATGATATTATAGATGACAAATTTAAGCGAAATAATTTGGTAAATCTGTACATTCAAGTACAAAGTAAAGTAATAAATACAAAGCCCTAAGCTTTCTATGAAATTTAATTTAGTTAATGGTGTACATATTCTATAACATGCACTTCCTGGTAACTGTTGATTTTGTCACTCGCATAGGCATTTAGGTCGACGCACTAGAAATCTCCCAAAGCAACTTTATGCGAAGCAAAAGCGAAGGCAAAGCTTTTAAGTTTATCATTTCATTTAGAGCCATTTATCGATACTAAATTCAGTGAGGATTTGATTATGATATAAAAATCTATACAGAAATAAATAGAAATGAAAAGAGTAAAAACTATTTTTCTTCCGTTACTCTTTTATGATATTAAATTATTGGAATATATCATGCTTTATATGTACAAGTAAGCATTAAAGATGTTTTATACAGCGTGTCTTTACCATCGCGACAATAAATGAACACACATATAGAAGATAACTTTTTAAAATTGTATTAAAGATTTACATTCTGTAAACATCAATATTTACCGAGTTATAAAATTTTCCAAAACAAGGAATTTTAGAACAACCTTACGTATAAAACTTTAATATAAAGTTCATTTGTAAAGGTCACAAAGCATATGAATGGGTTGAATGAATTTAAAAGAGACAAAACATACTGTTAGAAGGAGAGACTTGTAATGCGACATTGTGGCATTACAAGTCTCTTCGTCAAATCGTCTTTGAATGTATGAATCAGTCAGTTGTAGTTGTATAGCTTGTTACAAATTTTGTTTCTTTTTTACTTAATTAGTTTGTTTGAAAAATATTTTTTTTTTAATTATGGATTTTTTTAACATAAATATTTTTTATGATTATTGCCAAGTAGCGTTAGACGTGTGTTCATTTATAATCGCGGTGGTAAAGACACGCTGTATATAAAAGTATTTTTTTCCTGACGCATTCAAAATGTCTTGTACCGTGACTGCATATTTATATAAAAAAATCAATCCAATACCTGTAACATTTATGTCTAAACACGCGTCAATTGGGCTAATAAAGCCTTTAGAATAACATTAGCTATCTCCTAGACCCTCAGACGATTAAAGGCGTTTGAAGCTATGACATGTACATTAAAGAATTTTGTATGTATGTGAACTACAGACGTGTCGACATTCGTTGGTTCAAAAGTATTGTATTTTTCGTGGAAAGGGTTAGGTAGTAAGTCCCAACGACCACTGTGACCTATATGATCCAATGTAGACTGGGTCAATAGTATATATACAATTAGTAATAAGACATCATCATCATCATTTCAACCCGTTTGAGTCCACTGTTGAACATAGGCCTTCCTCATAGACTGCCACGAAGTACGATCCTGACCTACCTGCAACCATCGACTTCCCGTACATTTGTTCAGAAGATTAGTAGGCTAAGATGGCGATGGGCCCGCCATATAGCGCGTAGAACCGATAACCGATGGGGAAGAAAGGTTCTTGTGTAGGACGTAGGACCCACTAGATGGAGTGACGACTCGTGCAAATAAGACATCGTTTTGCATAAAACATGTCGACGCCGTTGAATAGGCGAATCCGCTTCAGGTCGAGCGACAGCGCGAAGTGCGGCGCAGGCGGCTCGGCGGTGCCAGTGAGTAGGCAGTGGATCATGGGTGGTGGGGCTGGGTGCGCCGGCGCGGGGCTGGCGCGTCGTCCGCCGGCGGCGCCGCGGGCCCGAATGACGGCCTCGGGCTCCCAGCGGTCGCTGCTGTCGGTCGCCAGCGACAGCGCCACCTCGCGCCGCCCGCGTGAACTTGCACCGCGCGGCTACCCGCATCCCGCGGACGGTGGCTTTTCCCTCTTCGTGAGTGGGCGCTTCGCTTCCTAACAGTCTCCCGCCTGACGACCCATTAGTCTCGAGTAGCAACGGTACTAGGCCTTCTATCCAATGACGCAAACTGCCTCTTAGTGTGAGGTCTCAGTTCTATTGAGAGATTTATCTTACTTTGGAAAAAAGAGATACTCTATTTATGATGGTTACAATAATATTGCGTAGTGAAATACTTTTCGATAATTTTTCAAACAAATTAAACGTTATGTTGTTTAATAAAATAACATAAAGGTCCAATTTATAACGAACACTTCGCAATTGAATCATGTCTTCATGAAAGGGTCGTCAGAATAACACGCAGCTCCTATTTCCGGGCCGCTCAATTTTAACAGTGTAAATACAGCTGCAATTCCATTTCATCAATCATCGAAAACGTGTATTTTCTCTTTCATCATGCCTATTGGTTAATTTTATACAAAAGCAATAAATACGATTAATAATTGAAAATTTAATAATGTTTTCAGTTTTAAGTTGGTGTTAAATCTAAATAAGAATTCTCAGTGCTTCATGGTATAGTTTTAACAATAGGCATAATATTAACAACTGATGGTTTTAGGTAGTATAAACAATTTTATATAAACACTTAATTTACAGTTAAGTTATAAAATATTCATCAAGTATTCATTTATAAATATACTTATCATAAATTTACTATGCATATATGAAATATTGTAGGATAGTCTAATTTACTGACGAACTTCTTTGAGCTATTGCAGCATCATTATAACTCTGTAATGTGAACGAAACTTTTACTGTAACTTATTTCAAACTATGCTTCCAGGGGCTTAAATTCTACTATTATGAATAGCAGGGCGCTAAAGTAGGTACGAAGTCCGGCTAGCCGGTAATTATCACGCATTAACTATCGTCCACGAAACTTTAGCGCCCACCTATTCGCCTATTTGTCCCGGGCGGGCTCGTCCGTGCGGACGGCCGATTAGAGTAGACGTAGCTTGAACCGCATTCGATTGGGGCGCAGAGACATGCTAGCAACAACAACATATTGGTGGGCGAGAGCGGCTCGCTGGCCAGGCGGTACGCGCGGCCGTCCAGGGAGTCGAGGGATTACAACGCGAACGTGCCGCGAACCCACGCACGGCTGTCGCACCACGCCCACGTGCGGCACGACAACACTCTCGACATTATCCTAAAACCACTCATTGAGAGCACGCAGTAAGTAAGGAAGACAGCGCGGCCGTTAACAAGCCCCTCTCAGCCCCGATGCCTTTTTAGCGGTACGTGATTTCTGGGACTCGGCGCGAATGCGACCTCTCAGCCGACGCCGTTAGTGGAGTCGCGGCGTGAATTTAAAGTGACGCTTTAGTGGGAGCTTGAGAGGGGATTTTTAATAAGCCCTGTGTGAAGCAACGTAGCGGAATGTTAGCAGCACGCATTTGTTTGAACAATCTCCCTCCAGGTTGCTCGTGGAGGCACGTTTCGGTTGTACACCACTATTTGTATGTCTCAATTAGTGCATGCGGGAAAAGGTTCGCGGTGTTGGCTGCATTTATGGCGGGAACTAACTGACTAACAACTAATCAAAACTTTTGTGTGTTATAATTACGTGTTATGTATATTTGTGTATACCATGATTTGTGATTAAAATTGCTCATTAATTACGTGTTGACGAATGTTTTTTTGTTCGCTTCGAATCTTTTTATAAATTCTAATTTTATCTTATATCGATACAGGCTTCAGAGCAATTAGAGGCGTCTGAAAAAGGATCACTTCAAACACGCGAATCAACGTCCAAGTCCGGAATTATCGACAAACAAGGAACTGCGGAAATGAGTACTGAGTTGTGATGCATATGTAAAAGAAACATACTTTAGGATAATATAGTCATAAAGAGAGGAAGACGAAATAATAAGAAGATTTTTTAGTTTTCTTTATTTATTTTTATATGTAAAATTTTAAGAACTACATTGGGATTTGTGCGTCGCTGGTAACCCCTTGACAACTTATTTCATAAGAAAAGTAAAACATTTGTGGAAAGTATGAAACTTTAAACAGTAACTTTTTGAAAATGCCTGATTACAAATTGTTGCGGGGCAACAGTTTGTTAGTACGATTTTCCTGTTGTATAATTGAAATAACTCCTGTCAATTTACATTTTACAAAATAGGGCACTGATAACATTAACAGCATAAATAGGGGGAATAAGATATAGCAGAAGCATTTAACTCTAGGGTTATGAAACGTGCATTATTTTAATGTACGCAACTAGGTCTGTAAATATTTTCTATGTATAAAGTAATTATTATACAATACCTACCTGTTAAGAAGCATAACAGTGTTAATGGAAAGACATACATGTTCTAATATCCATAACGTAATATATTTTGTGCCAAAGAGGTTTACTAGGTACGCAGATAAATCACTCACGGGAAATTCAGAAAAACAGATTATTTTCATATTAAAATAAGGTAATAATATGGACTCATCTTTCATAATGTACATAATAGGGTTACCATAATGTCACTTATTAGGGTAATTTGATCTTTCATAAAAATTATTAATATATGTACATTCATTTTTAGTAACATTAACATTCAACCCACATTGCGTTTTTAGTAACAGTGGAGCAGTGTCTTACGTTAGCTGTTCTAATATGATAAATTTTTACGATTATTTATTGCTTCGTTTGCAACGGGTATTATAAGACTATCAATTATTTCCCTAATTAAGCTATTTGGTGAAAATGTACAGTTGTTATGTAGCTTAGTCGATATCAATCGCAACCCGATGATGTATTTTCCATACTCATGTACATTTTAATTTGAACACAAGAAAAATACTTTAGTAGCTTGTAGAAACATTTTAGATAACGGTACATTGTATATAAGTACCGACTACATAAAGGATCATACATATTACACAATTTTTTACAAGCTATCCCATTTTTGTGTTAAATGAACGAACTGAAAAACAAACATTCTGTGTCAATTTTAAACTTGTCAAGACTGACAAAACATGTTTATAAATTTGTATAATCCAAGACATATTTAACCGGGCGGTTTTTAAGATACGGTATTTTTTCTGTATTGTTATCATTGTTCATTTTAAAGGATAATAAATATTATGGAATAGTCTGCTGTTTTTCTTTTAAATAACAATGGTGTTCTATGTAGTTAGTGAAAGTAAACCATGTAACGGGTGAAAGTACCCATATCATTGATAAAAGAAAATTTCTTAAGATATGACAGAATTTTATGAGGCTATAACTGAGCCGCGTGCACATTTGCCACGTCTATTAAAAAGACGACAAGATAAATTCTGTTTGATACGAGATGAAAGGTAAAAGAGAATTTTGCCTGATGTTATACTGATTTAAGTATTCACAATATTTAAAAATACAAAAAGTCGCGTCATTGCAGTAAATCGATAGCAGACGTGAACATTATAGATTGTGTGGAAGATTGTTTCAAACAATCCGATAGATCGTTTGCCTTTCCGTCCGTATATAACAATGTTTTTTCAAGGCATGAATGAAAAAGGTTTATGGAACTAGTGTTATATTATTATTCAATGCTAGCTAGCTATATTATTTAATGCTGGAATGCAACTAGAAAAACCACTATCTGATGTTGAGTTGCAGATCCTCTGATTAATAAGTATTAGTTATTTTATAATTATAAATTCAACAGCTTTTTTATGTGAAAAGGTGGCAAACGAGCTAGCAGTTCACCTGATGTTAAGTTATTATCGCCGCCCAAAGACATTTGCAACACCCGTAAGGTTGCAAAGGTGTTGCTACCTTTAAATAACGTGGACGCCTTCTACTTCACTCACCAAACGAAACGCAGAAGTGTCAGAACTTCTACTTTACGCCGGTCTTCTGTGAGGTCGTGGTACTTACCCGGACGGACCTACCTATTCATGCAACAGTCTTGCATGGCCACAGGCACAGTGAATCTGCTTCTTTAAAAGCCAATAAAAGGAACATATTGTCGGTCTCGTCGAATGCCGTGGGGAATGACAGCGTTAGTCGTAACATGATCCTACCTATCCTTGACCTAGTTACTCCTGTTATCACCCATATCCTAAATGAATCTATCTCCACATCTAAATTTCCTAAAGCGTGGAAAAGTGCATTAGTAACTCCTCTTCCTAAAAAGGCTCATGTCGTGCAAAGTCGTTTAAGGATTTTCGCCCTATCTCCATTCTCCCTTTTCTATCCAAGGTCCTAGAAAAACTCATTTTCCATCAAATAATTTTCCATCTGAATAGAAACTGCCTTCTAAATCCATTTCAATCCGGTTTCCGGTCAGGACATAGTACAACTCCTGCGCTGGTTAAAATTTCTGACGACATTCGACGAGGTATGGACAATAAACAACTCACAGTGCTGGTATTATTGGATTTCAGTAATGCATTCAATTCTGTTGATCATGACATTCTGTTGAGTCTGTTACGTTCTGCTAACATATCTCCACCGGTGGCTGGTTGGTTTCAGAGTTATCTTAGTGGCCGACGGCAGCGTGTTCGCATTGATGGTATGTTTTCATCATGGCGTGAATTACGAGCTGGAGTGCCTCAAGGTGGTGTGTTGTCTCCATTACTCTTTGCTTTCTTTATTAATTCAATTTCCCACAATATTACTTCTCTCTATCATATGTATGCAGATGACTTCAACTGTACACACAATCAAACTTTGAAAACTTGCCCACTGCTATTACCGCCATCAATGGTTGGCAGCTATCAGCGAGTGGAGTAAGAGCTATGGACTTAAGATTAATCCTTGCAAGTCCCAGGCCATCATTGTTGGCGGAGCTGGCATGATTTCAAGAGTTGATTGGGACAACCTTCCCTCGATAACTTTAAATGGTGTTGTGGTGCCATACAGCAAGACTGTTGAAAACCTTGGTGTTCACTTCGACTCTACTTTCTCGTGGTCTCACCAGTTAAAAGAAGTGAGCAGGAAGACATTTGCAGCCATGGGTTCTCTGCGCTGCTGACGTTCTTTTCTCCCCATTCCCACTAAGATTATGTTAGCACAATCCTTATTTCTTTCCATTCTCGATTATGCAGACGCAAGCTATCTTGATTTAACCGAGGACCAAGTTAACAAGCTTGAGCGAATTCAAAACTTAGCTATCAGATTTATTTTTGGTCTTCGCAAGTATGGCCATGTCTCCGAATATCGTACAAAGCTCAAGTGGTTACCCATTCGCCTTCGCCGGAATCTGCATATTGTTTCTATTCTGTACTGTGTTTTGTTGAATCCTATGACTCCGAGTTATTTGAAGGAACGGTTCAAATTTCTTGGTCATGACAGACCAGAAAGAGTTCTGCGGTCAGCCAGAGAACTTATTCTCGCCCCGCATACTTTCCGGACCAACTATTTTAAGAATTCTTTTACAGTCAAAGCCTTTTGCTTATAGAACGCGCTTCCTCCACAAATCCAGTGCATACAAACGTTAAGAAAGTTTAAAACTAATTTTAAAAATTACTATCTGTCACTGTGTTGACACTGATTGTCACTGACGACATTTGTATATTTATTTTATATTTTTCTCTCCCCGTATATATTTTTGTAAGTTATTGTACAGTATATGTTTAGTTTTATGTATGTCTATTGTATATTATTAATTGGTATATATTAGTATATTATTATTTTACAAAATACAATATATTCGTTCATTTTATTTAGATCTTCGTATGTAAATTTATCATTTGCACCACCTATCGTTGTCCAAAATATTGTACTTTTAGCCACAAGGTTGTCTGAAAGAGATCGCTTTTTAGTGATAAGACTGCCTTATTTTTATACTACCTTATAAGTTATTTTTGTATCATTTCTTATATATGTTCATGGTGTTCAATAAAGCATATAATAATATTTTCATACAAGGTGAAGGAATATCAAGTAGAAATATTACGAGGGTTACACAATATCTATAATAATAGCGCTGTCCTACAGAACCGAGACGTGGTCCTTCACTGCTGGACTTATGGGGAAGCTCATAGTCGCTCAGCGAGCTATGGAGCGGGTTATGCTCGGTATTTCTCTGCGTGATAGAGTTAGTAACGATGACGTCCGCAGTAGAACCAAGGTAACCGATATTGCTCAGAGGAATAGCAAACTGAAGTGGCGATGGGCCAGCCATATAGCTCGTAGAACCGTTGGGGAAGAAAGCTTTTCGAGTGGCAGCCTCGTACTGGCCATCGCAATGTAGGACGACCCTCCACTAAATGGGATGACAAGTTGTTCAAATGTGGGGGAACTCTGGATCGTACTTCGTGACAGTCTCGAAGGCTCGGTTCGGGAGAGGCCCATGTTCAGCTACGCACAATCCTGTCTCACTGACAACAGTCTTAATATCAAAACCTCTCATCAGAATTATTTTCTTTACTTCTTCTCAATACTCTATCTCATTTTAAGTGGCAGGAACGCGGAGCAATAAAATAAACTACAACAAATAAAATAACTAACAACAAAATCCTGAAAGTTGGAAATGGCAAATAGAAAACTGTTCTTGGATATTCCGTATTTAATTATTTATGAAGTTGTGTAAAAAAGCAAGATATTTTAGTGTATTGCATTGAAATAAGATTTCGTACAATCCGAAACAACCAGGCGAGGCGGTTAAGGTATAAAATTGTCTCGAAAGTCTATCCAATATCATGGAGATTGATCGTTCAAGGTCGCTCACTCCATACTTTAATTATTTACACGCATAGAAATTAAGTAACAGTAAAGG